GGAAGCCCGAATTTCGAATTTGTTTTATTATCTGTTTCAAATTTTGTAAAACGTCAACAAATTTTTGATTAACAAACTCGACGATTTCAAAGCGAACAATGGCAACACCATACGGGGAAAAAAAACGGGGGAAAAAAAAAAAAAACTTTCTTCAGCGCGTGATAATGTGTATCGGAAATTCTAATTCTTTTTAAATTATTTTGTGATATTGCTGTTGAATTTTATGTGTTTTAACTGTGAAGAACATTATATTTAATCAATAAAGGTTACGCACAAAAACGTTAAAAAAAGCCCCTTCGGCTGTAAAATATAATCTGAAAGCTTTCAGATTTTTTTAATTTATTAATTTTATATTGTTTTAAGAATATTTTTTTTATGTGTACATACACAGCGAACTAATATTTTGGAAATTTTGTTTTCGAGGTCTGTTTTTGTTAAAATTCTTCTATGAGGGATAGTAAGAAACAACTGAAAAGGAAGACGAAATTAAAACCTATAAAATCTTAATGCAGCTTAGTTTGCTTGCAGCTATAGATTATCAGCTGATAATCGGATAACAGCACCGAACACTAATAATTCGTCCCGAGTTCGATTCCAGTAAACGGAAGGGTGCAAGAGCTTTTTTTGTGTAACGTGATAACGAGAGAGTTTAAGGGACTTCTATGAAACTATCTTTTTATCATAGATAACTCTCGAGTGTTTTTCTCCTTCTCTTTCCTTCAGCGATAGGTGTGTCGAAACCGGAAGATAGTTAATATTTTGATTTATTTGATTATTGCAAAGCAGCTTTGTCAGGATCCTCTAATAAAAACTGGATCATATCCACTTTACACAGTAGAAAACGATAAAATCGCTCTCAGAAAAGAAGTTCGCTATATCTGATTTCGTACATACGGAAGTTTGATATAGCTAATTGTATTTAAATAAGATTGCCAGTTAAAAAATAACATTAAGTGAAAGAAAATTAGACATGACCAAAGAGTTCATCATATCCGGGGCTTCGTCATAAACAAGATTCCGTATGGTGGATTTTGACTGTTATTAGATTTACATTGTACTGCAACGTCTGATATTATCCAAGCATTATTTCTGCAATAGATCGAACTTTAAACAAGTTAAACTTTTCCGGAATTTTGTGTTTTAAAAGAAAAAGAGAGAATGGATTTATACGATTTTAGCAGCATGGGATATATTGTACGTGCTCGCATTTGATGCTTTTTACTTCCTTGTACGAAGTAAAAAGGAAGTATTGTAATCGCGAAAAGTTTCAGGCAGCATATTTCAACGAAAATATCCATTTTGACCGCTATCGAATGCAATTTAACGATGTTTTTGCGTCATATCTCTACGTAAGGACAGAATAAAAGACTCGTTTCCTCCAAAAAAATTATAAAACTGCTTTAAAATGAATTCTGAAGAGAATTTTTCGTTTCGTCTGTACGAACGTATGTACGTGCGTATCTCGCATAACTCGAAAACGAGTAGCCTCAGAACGTTGAAATTTTGTATATAGGACTGCTATAACCTGTAGATGTGCACCTCGTAATTTGGTTGCAATTGGAAGCACCAAACGTATATAAATATATTTATATATATCCGGTCTATTACCCGGCTCCGTGATCTCAGTTTCTTTACTCTTATATGTTTGTAAATTGTACATTTTTTCCTTTAAAAATGATTGAATTATGTTGTTTTTATCTTCCGGTTAAGTTTTTATGCCTTTAGTATATCTGTGTGCAATATTTTTAGAATTATCAACAATTTTAAAGTTGTTTAAATGCCTCTAAGCCTTTTTTTTTTTTTTTTTTTTTTTTTTTTTTTCTTTTTTTTTTTTTTTGGCGGCCATTGCTTGTTTGCATTTGAAACAGCAGACAAGTGGATTTGTTGCGAATCCAGAGAAACTTAGCTTCGCAACAGCAAAGATAATGCCTTCATTTATTATTGCCAATTAAATCATGCTTAATCTTTTCTGGAATTTTTTCGAGGAAATAAGTGTTTAAGATTTACTTCGTAATTTTTAATATAGATATTTTGAGTTTTTTATGTACGTATTTTGCGAAGTGAGAACTGAATTAATTGAATGAGAAATACTCAATCGTCTGTGAAAAACTGTTTCTTTTTTGTTTTGTTTGCTTCATTTCTTTTATACATCATTCTAGCTTTATTATAGTATTTGAATAGAACATGTGGCAACGATTAGATAATTCTGTTCTTTAAATGGTATAAATTTTGTGCGTTATGAGTTATAATATGAACGAAATATAATACTGTTAAGTGAACCTAGCGCCAAAGTGTCGCTTTGGTAAACAAATACTAAAGTGAATTTTAAAGAATGCATTTATTCTATAGTGGTTTATACGCTGTCGGCGAAGTAGATTTAATTCAATCCGATAAGGTTAAATGAAATGCAAGAAAAAATGCGTATAATTTAATATTCCGTACAAGAAAGTCATGTGGTGTACACATCAGATTTTTTTGCTCTTGCGTTATGTTTTGTCGGAATCTAGATGTTGGTATTCTCTGGTGAATTGCATCGTAATTTTACAAATCGGCAATTTTAACGAACAACCTTCTGCAATTACAGAAACGAAAACTTTCCTCTTCTTATTCCTATATTAAAGAGTTTATTTCCCTAAAACGTTATAAAATAACCTGCATACGTCATGAGGTTCCTAACATTCATTAAAGACAAAACCGGACTCGTTCATGTATCATACAGGCTTCAGATCAAATTATATTTAAACTTAAGGTTGTATGTTGCGTGTAGAAACCGGCATTACAAACAATGACTAAAAGCAATGTTTTTTTACTTCCTTGTAGAAGTAAACAGGAAGTATTGTAATCACGAAAAATTCCGGTTATCCTATTTTAACGAAAATAGCCATTTTGACGGCTATCGAATGCAATTTAACGATCTTTTTGCGTGACATCTGTACGGTAGGACACAAGAAAGGGCTCTTTTCCCCAAAAAATTTATGAAACTGATTTAAAATGGATTCTGAAGACATTTCTTCGTGGGATCTGTACGTACGTATGTATCTCGCATAACTCGAAAACGAGTAGCCTCTGAACGTCGAACTTCTGTATATAGGACCGCTATAATATGTACTTGTGCACCTCCCTTTTTGGTTGCAATAGGTCGCACCAAACGTATATGTATATGTTACGGTGAAACACCGAAATCTGGAGAATGTCGACTTTCACCGGTGAATGTCAGCATTCACATAGTCGCTTGGTGTATGTCCGAAATATTTTCCAAATACTCTTATTTCTGACTTACACCGGTGAATGTCGACATTCACCAGGCACTAATGGTGAATGTTGAATATATAAGAATATTATATTTCCTTCTCCGTAATTCATTCGCGAAAAAACGCACTTGAGACTCAGAATAAGAACTTAAGAAGAAGATAAGAACTTAAAACACACAGTACATTCAAAATGAGAAAGGAAAATAATAGAAGTTATAAACTTACCAAATTATGTGATTCAAATCCTATTTATTGCAACAACTGAAACTATTATGACACTTTGAATTGCACAATAGGCCCTTGCTTTTACGACTGCATTTATTTGTGGAACACTTCCTTTTGGAATGACAGCGTGTACATATACTCCTCTCTTTTCGACCTACACCAGAGCATATCTGTGATTGTCGACATACAGTGGTGAGGGTCCGAATGTACAAGAATGTAAAGAAATATTCGATCTTTCATCGACGTATTTGGTGAATGTTAACATTCTCCAATTTCGGTCTTTCACGGTAACATATACATATACGAACTCTGTTACTCGGTTCGGTGAGCTTAGCTTTTTTTTATTCTTATACGTTGGTAAATTGCGAATTTTTTGCTTTAAAAATGATTGAATTATGTTGTTCTTATCTTCTGGTTAAGGTTTTTTATGCTTTAGTTAACCTTCATGCACGTTATAGTTGCAGAATTAGCAATCAATTCTAAAAGTTTCTTTAAGTGTGACTAAGCCTAATTTTTTTTACCATAGCAGTCGTGTTTGTTCACATTTGAAACTTAGTAGAATAGTGGATTTGTTGCCAATCTAGAAAAACTAAGCTTCGTAACAAGAAAGATAACGTCTTCTTTTATTATTGCGAATTAAATCCTGCTCAATCCATTTTGGAATTATAATTTAAGACTTAGCACAATGTCCACAACAAATAAAGTTAGTTTTGCACCTTTAGTGTCTTTTTGCTGAGTGGGACCAAAAGGAAATTAGTAGTTTTGTGCACCGAAAAATCTGCCTTTTTGCCTGCTGGCCGAATTGCTTGCTCTTCCGCAGAACTTTTAATTTTAATTGTAATTTTTTAAAATTATTTTAACTGTATTTGCCGTTTTATGTTTTTCTATATCTTTCAATTTTAATGAAGATATTTTGAGTTTTTATGTATTTTTGCTTTGGCGCGAAGTGAGAACTGAATTAATTGAATGAGAGATATATCTTTAGCGAAATTCGAGGAAATAAACGTTTCGTATTAGTAGCAAATATTGTCACCAGGCAGACTCGTACAGAGGAAAATGTTTACGAGTAGCGCATGCGCATTAGGTATACGGCGCTGAATCGTCTGTGAAAAACTGTTTCTTTTTTATTTGTTTAATTTCTTTTATACATCGTTTAAGATTTATTATAGTATTTGAATAGCTCTAGATGATATAATTTTCGTACATTTTGAGTTAGAAAAAGAAAAAATTTAACGCTGTTAAGTGAACGTAGCGCCAGAGTGTCGCTATGGTAAATAAATATAAAAGCGACTGTTAATGAGTGCATTTATTCTATTGTGGTTTATGCGCTATCTTCGAAGTAGAATTCAGTAAGTTTAAATGAAATTCAGGCAAAAATGAGTATAATTTAATAGTCGTGGTGTACATATGAGATTTTTTTCCCCTTGTTGCAGTTATTCGAACTGCATTTGTGACACCAAAGTTCTAGATGTTCTCTTGACTTCTATTGGAATTAATGCTATGAATTTTTCTTATCGCTTGCAGATATCGGCATAAAAAGCTAGATGGCAATTTTGTTGGACATTCGGCGCACGGAGCCAATGGTCGAGCTCAATCAATCTGAATCATCGGTCAACCTAACATCCTATGCTCACGAGCCTGTGTCTTTCGGCAACCCAACATTTCAAGATGATTGTGAGCAAGGTAATTAATTCTTTTATTGCTTATATGATATTAAATATATATATTATGGCTTAAACTTAAAGCACCTAAAGTAAATATTAAATTTCAATCAAAGCAAGGCAATTCCTCAACAATATTAATAATTGCAACCGTGTATAAGATGTTTAACACAGCATCTAAACAAATCAAAATTAAAATAAGAATGCATAGTAGAACAAACTCGAAAAATAAAAATGCGAAAGGGAAAATATGCAATATTAAAAAAAATATGCAAATTATACAAATTAATCTCCCGTCACTGAAACTCCAGTTCAGAACTCATAGGGGGAAAATGAACTAAAGCTTCAGAAAAGTCGATTAATATGTTTCGAAAACATGTTTCGTTATTCTGGTTCATTTGAGATCAAAAACCGAAAAAACATTCAATTAAATTTTCAAATAAGATATTAAAATTCATATATAACCGAAAAATCGAATCTCAAATGTATCAGAATTTTCCCTACACCCTTTCGAAACATTTGAAAAAAATAATGAAAGGTAACATTGTGACAAACTGACTACTCGGGGAAAAAAATCACAAAACTTAACTTCATTTTTAGCCTTAAACAGCTAAAAAAAAAAAAAAAAAAAAAAAAAAAAAAAAAAAACTATTGTAACAAAAATTGGGGAAAAAAAACCCTCAAACTTACTTAATTCTTAAGAAGACTTTCTTAACGTAAACTATAATTGAATTCTTAAAATGACCGAACTGTGTTCTTCGCAAAAGAAAGTAGAATTCAAAGCTGCTCTGGAGAAGCAAAAATGTGTAGTTCATGCAAAAAGTATGCGATAAGGTTCAGTACGTAGAAAATATTTAAAAAATCTGTTCCTTTCTAAATCTAGCCCACTAGCGGCCGAGCGGTAAAGTCGCTGAACACTGGTAGTTCGAATCCCGCGAACGGGCTGGCTGCATGGGTGTTTTCGTGGTTTTCCCCATGTGTAACGTGTATACGAGCCAGTTTCCCTTAGAAAGTCCTCCACGAAAGGCATCCCTCCTCTTAGGCAGATAGCCCTAGTGTGCTTTGCCATAATTAAATACACCAACACCTTTCTAAATCTAACTTCTTAGTTCATAGTAGATGTACTCATCATTAAACGGTATCGCTTTCTACTTTTTGAAGCAGCATAAATACTAAACTGGAATCCCTTGATTGAAAGCCTTGATTAAAAGCCTTGATTTTTAATTTCTTCCTTTTTTACACATTTCGACTGAAAATTTTATTTAAAAATTTCTTATATAATATTTTCATTCGTATTGTTATTTTGTGTACTTCGCTTCATAATTACATTCCACAGAATACATTTTTGTTGCTATTTATGAGGACAGCGACCTTTTTTTAGCTTCTTTAATTAAATCTTGTTGGTATCTTATTTATACTCAAATATTTCCGCAACGGAAAGTTCTGTAAATGTTATCATGATATAGTGGATTTTTATTTTCTAAATGTGAACTGACCAAACATATTTTTAATGATGAAATCACAATTGAAGATGTTTTAAAAAATTGCTTTACTGATATAATTTCATCGACTTGAGGTGCTCAAAGATTTTATGAAAACTTAGTAATAACATTTAATGAATTTGTTGAATTAAAGGGTATACTGTAATCTTGTAAGTTCAAGCGATTTAATTTATTAAAAGTTGCTCTATTTTATTTTCATTGATAATATATCCCGAACTTCATAAAAGCATTTAATATTACGCGTAGCTCACTATAGCAGCTTCCAAAATAATTAAGAAATGAAGATGAAGATTTACAATTAAAAGTTTAGAGAACGTTATCAGGAAATTCTGAAGCGTTATGCGTATTACGAGGTTAAAATGATACACTAATAAATATTTTTCACTCTCCATTAATGCCTTGGGTTTAAATGTGAAAACCTAATAATTACTTTGTGTATAACATAATATGTATCTATCAAAGGTGGTAATTTTGTCTATAATGTGAGTACATTAAACATCAAAATTTAAAAAAACAAAAACTATCATCATTATAAACAGTAGACTGCGTAAAATATCTCCAATATTTAATGTCAGAACACATGCTATACAAATACACATTTAAAAGCTATGGAACAGCATGTTTTTGTAACTAATTTGAGAATGAAGCAACACAGAAATCAGAAATTTAGAGGACTTGTTCACTAAACAGTTCTTTCATGAATGAACATAGAATGTTTATAAAGTTCAACACAAACATGATTTACCACAAAAAATTTCACTCTTGGCAGAGAAATCCAGTCTTGGAGAAGTAGCATATCACAGTTTTTTTTTTTTTTTTTTTTTTTTTTTTTTTTGAGGAAAATTGTGATGGTAACATTACAAAAATGAGTTCTGTTAAGGAATATGTCCACCCCTAGCTGCAATACATTGGCAGCATCTACGTCAATTAAGTTGTCGGTCAGTGAAATGTGAAACAACGATCAGACACGGAGTAATCCTTCTTCAAGCTCTTCTAACAACTTTCGAGGAGGACGTAAAACAGTAACCTGTCTTCCAAGGTAGTCCTAAAGATGCTCTATCGGATTTAGGTGGGGACTGAGCTGGCCATTCCATACGCTCCATACCGTGACTCTCAAGATATTCTTCAGCAACCCCAGCGTCGAACATTGTCGTCAATCAGAAGATATCCAGGACCAATAGCAGCGGCATATGGGCGGATAAAATATTGATCAAGGATCTGTTTTCGATATCTCACACCGTTCAAAGTTCCTTCATGGAACACATACAGGTCAGTGTGACCATCGAGAGAGATTCCAGTTCAAACCATTATTCCACCACTTCTGTAACTGTGTCATTTCACAATGTGGGATTGGTTGTATCTGGTGCGTTGTTCCCTCCAGATCAGCTGACAACCTGAAGTACTCTTACGTGTGAACTTGGAATCTTCTGTGAAGAGAATAGAAGCCTATTGTTGAGCAGTCCAGCAGAAGTATTCTCTTGCCCAACATAAACGGGCAGCTTTGTGACCTCGGGGCAAGGGAGCACAAACAACTGGTCGTTTAACATACAGGCTTGTATTATGCAGGCGTCTGAGCACTGTAGTAGCTGAGATTCTTGTTCCTGTTGCCACTAAATGATCTGCTATGAGCTGAGGCACAGTAATGTTACTCCTTCTTCCGACCAGAAGAGCTACATAATGGTCTCCTGCAGGTGTTGTAACTCTAGGTCTGCCTGGAACATACCTTCTGGACAAGAATCCTCAGATTCAAACTAATTCCATAGTCAGTAGACCATACTACGAGAGACATTGGGACGTCTAGCAGTATCAGTTTGTGACATCCCCATTTCCATCCATTCGATCGCCCGCCTGGATATTTGAGAGACTTTCCTGGATATTGTCAACGAAATTACTAAGAACAATTGAAGATCAACACTCATTAACAAAACTTACAATTTTTGCATTTTTTCTCCAACTCCTATATAAGTATTCCTTTCTATAAAATAAAAGTGGTAGCTATTGTTTTTGTATATATTTTCTTAAATTTTGTTACTATCATGCATGTAAACTGTGAATTTAAATATTACCAACATTTTTGTAATGGTCAGCCTTCAAAAACATTCTATTCCTTAACTTCTGAAGGGCAGTATATATATATTTTATATCTTAATCAAAATTAAGAACATCTTAAATGTGTTGATTCCCTAATTAAGAAATGCAGAACGAGAATGGAAGGATATATGAAGGGTTTTATTTACTTAAATGATATCCCATGCTGTGCTTAGCTGAAACGATAATAGTCACATTGTTGGTATGATGGCTATCAAACTCGCACATGACATGATGGTATCAAACTCACAGGCAAGTATTTAAAATGTGACTTTACATTTAAACAGGTGGCAATTATTCCCCGACATCTCCAACTGTCACATTATTGCTCCAAAACCTCGATAACTTTTCTACGCCAACGAACAATAACGACAACTCCCTCAGTGACCAGAACAGTTCGAAAAGCGGACTGAAACCTTCAGATTCAGGGATCCTCATCTGTGTGGCATCCAACAACTGCCCTAATGACGATTCCTCATCTCTAGGAGATAAAAGCTTGGACTCTGGTGTTTATGAGGCCACGATTGGAAAAAGTGCTCTCGATAGTATCGTCAAAGCCCATCCTGGAGGGGAAGGAGACACGTGGCCTACTCTTCCAAAAGACAAAGATCCAGAGCAGGGCAAGAAAGGCCACAGTACATCTCCAGGTAATGAGGAAAGCTTACTGGCCATATGTGTTCAAGTCTTCATACCATTCCTTATTGCTGGAGCGGGAACCTGCGGAGCTGGTATCGTCCTGGATTATGTGGAGGTAAGTGTTTAGCTTCTTCAACTAACTATCGTCAAGAATCTTTTCTTATTTCTCATAGCTTTATTTAAAAAATAAAATGGGTATTGAAAGAGTACTACTAAGAAACTGTTATTCGAAATATGTAAAAAAAAAAAAAAAAAAAAAAAAAAAAAAAAAAAATAGGTGATCTTATCTTATACAACATAAGTTTGTGTTTTCTCTCCCGCCGAGACTGGGAATCGGTAAGATCTATCTAATAACGAAAATTAAATTCATAAACAATCGTGAGTTTCACAACAATGCCCTTTTGTTTTTTTTTCTTTCGGAGCTCGCAAAGGTGATTGTATCATTACTTGTAACATTTTTGTATTTGGTTGAAAGTTCTTTCACGTCGTCCGTGTCCAGGACTCAAATGTGTTTTCCTGATGCACGGAAAATAGGTTAGCGTCTGTGACGTAACACTGTATAGTACTGACGCTTTCTTTCGTTAACAGGATAAATGAATGTACTTTTGTCTTCTACAAACATCACTTCTAGCGACTCGGCGACGAGTAGTCCCGTGGCTCCATTTTAGTAGTCATTTTGGCTTTTTTATATCATTTATTAACTTCTCAAAAGTAGTTTCGTTTTTTCGAAACGAATCGAAGACGTATTCCATACTTTGCCGGTTTGTCATTTGGCATTCAATAGAATGCCTAAGAAATGTGTGAAATATGAATCCATTCATACATTGCCGGTTTTAGGCATTATATATACAATGCCTTGGCATTGTATATAATGCTTAAAACAAGGCCTAAGCATTGTATAAAATACCGGGTTTCAAACTTTGTCCATAATATCTTCATCCGATTATTCCAGGGCAGTAACAAACGTGGATCAATACAAACATAAACATACTCTTCCTAAAATCACTGTCTTAATCAGAAGCGAAGAATATCGCAAAATATCTACGCAAGAACTTCACCAATGTGTGGAAAGGCCAAATCACAAATTAATTATACATTATATCAAATATTTTGGATTTCATTCGCGGACAATAAAGAAGTTAACCATAGATTTTTTTCATCGAGACAAATCTTTCAAGCTGGCCTTGGTTCAGATTAAGTATTCTTATTCTTGCTTCGGCGTAGCACATTCTAAAGTTGCTAATTCACGTGTAAAGCTATATCGATGCTGGAACATGAAAAATATGCAATGCTGTGGCCGGAATTCGGACTTTATTTACGTTTTTTGCATTTCAGCATTTCCTTTACACCTGAATTTTGGTCCTTCTTCTTTTTACATTATTATTTGATATACAGTTTGGACTTCCACTTTAACGAGCATTCAAATTCTTCTTTGGAAAAAATGGTAGTCACAAAAATACGGGGTCTGGCAGCTTTAAAGAAAGCATTGCTGCTCTTATATTAGCCAGAAAATTTTGAACTAGGACTAGATAACAAATCGCTACATAACCATAAATGCATTGCTGTGGTTACTTCGAGCGAATTACTTTTACGCCGCAATATTAGAAAACAGAGTTCTTTTTGAATACGTATAATATTTTACAGAAGGAAGTAACGAAAATGACTTTCCGATGGGAAATGTATTCGTTAGTAATTTCAAGCGTTTTCAGCGTACATTTGTAATATGGACGTATTTGAGATTTCAAGCCGAATGTCTGATGCATGTTTTGTCAAACTGAACAGAACGCAATCTTTTACCTCTTATGTTAACTTTGCTCAGAAGTACCAGATTCGTTTTAACTGTGCCATAAATGTTGCGAAAAACTTCTGGGTGAGGTAGGGCACACCATAAGGATTAAGAATTGCATAGGAACCTATACAACGGAAATGTCACCGGAAGATGGGAAAAGAAACAAGAGTGATTAATTTGAAACATTTATTGGACATAATACAAATGGTGTATGACAGCTTGAATGTTGCAACAGATGCTTGAAGTTTGCACCATCAGACGCGAAACATGCCTGACATCGACGGACCATTTGAATGCAGTGAATTATTTGATCTATCTGGAGCAGGTTCTTCCCGATTTGCTTGACGATATTCCACCAAATGTGAGGCGCTACATGATGTGATTCCAACATGATGGGACCCCCTGCTCATTTTGGACTGGTTGTTCGTAGCCATTTGAACAGATTATTCCTGCATCGAAGGGGCGTGGTGCCCCCTCCCCCCACGCTCACCAGTTTTATCGAGCCTTAATTTCTTTTTTTGGAAAGCCATCAAAAGTGTCGTGTATCAGGATCGTGTTTTGTCTGAAATGGGTCTCGTGGCAAGACTCGCCTGTGCAGCTGCTACAATCAAAGAAACTCCCGGTGTGTTTGAACATTCTTTTCCCATCTTCTACTTCTGCTACAACTTACCCTTGACATTTCCGGGCCATGGGTACCTATGTAATTCTTAATCCTTATGATGTGCCCTACCTCCCCTAGAAGCTTGTCGCAACATTTACGGTACACCCTGTATGTCAATGAAGTAGATTGCAGACCCTAACCGTTTTATTAACCTTCTGAGCGTCCAGGGTTTTCGCTAGGAAAGTACAAATTCCCCAAAACTACTATGAGAACAAATTATTTGTTTGATTTTAATGTGAAAACTCTGCTGGTATTTCATACCTGGAGTTGTGTACTTTTGATATATTGCCTTTATTTCTTTGACATATTTTAATATGCACGTATATATACGTTCTTACAGATATCGCAAAAAATATTGAAGGCCGTATATATACGGCCTTGCAGCTTAGAGGGTTTTAAATGCCAAGGTTTTTAAAAGAAGATATTATGAACACGGTTGCGAAGGATGCTGTGAAATTAATAGTTGATCGAGGGATTTCAGAATGCCGTTTTGAGCACTTTGAGAACGTTGGAGAAGTTCCTAACTCCAGAAGAATAGTAATTTGAAGGTGGTTATGTTTATAATATTGTTATGCACCGGCATCATCGGCACATATCCTTGAGTGCCTGGAGTCGTCTCTTGAAGGCCTTTACAAGTCTCCTAAGCTTGTTTTCGATTTTCTGCAGGTGAATGGACTCGTGGACCTCGTCTAGTATATTCCTAGACATGGAGATTAATAACAACAACAATACAATATTGTTACTAAATTTGTGACAATACGGCAACAGTTTTTTAAATTGCTACTTATGTCTGACGTGGTTTGACACCTGCTAAATTGTATCGAATATTATATTTGCAGCCCAGTCGTCCTATAGAATTTACGAAACTGATAGCTGTCTATAACTGGTGGTAAAGTAAAGCGGTTTTCTGTTTGGCGAAATATTGATTATATTTTTTACTTTCTTGAACGAAGCAAAGGAAGTATTGTATCGAGAAAAATTTCCGGTATCGTATTTCAACGAAAATATCCATTTTAATCGTTCCGTAATCCATGTACACTTTTTTCCCCGTGATGTCTGTAGGTACGCGCAGAATAAAGGACTCATTTTTTCCAAAACAGATTGTAGAATACATTTGAATTGGATTCAGAAAGGATTTTTTTCGTGACCAACTGTGCGTATAAACGTGTGTATGTATTCCTATATCGCGCACAACTCAAAAACGATTGGCCGTAGAAGTTGAAATTTTGCTTGTGGAAATGCTATAACATCCAATTTTTTTTAATGAATTGGCAACACCAAACGTATATATATGATATAGATATATGAATTTAACAAACACAATATCATTATCTTTTTCATATAAAGCTAATTAAAATTTTAAATTATGAAAATTCAATTGTAAACAAAAAAATTATTAATTATTACTGCGAATTAATTTGCAGTATCATTCAAATTCAGAAAGCATAAGTAAATTAAGTGCAAGTATCTAAATACATGAAAAAATATATAATAATTCAAAAAATTTTTTCGAAACTTAAAACAAATTTTAAAGCTAAATTAATTTGCTTGGATATATGCTATAATATATGTCATAGCTTTGATATATGCTATAATATATATCATAGCTTTGATATATGCTATAATATATATCATAGCTTTGATATATGCAATAGTATGTGCTATAATATAGATAGATATACTCACCGATAAATGTATATAAGTGTCGAAAATATTCATGTTTTGACAATGTCAAATAATACAAAATTGGGCAAACGGTGAAATCTCACTTTTAATGCAGTCTTCTGGTTCCTATACTTAACGTTTGGGAAAGTTTTATACGCCTTATGAAAAAATAAAATGAAAAGAAGTTTGAAGTACGGCAGAATTTATCAGGAATATCTATTTTCGCAAATTTGGATGTCTTTTTCAACTTGTCTGGAGGGATCGGTTAACTAAGTTTAAATAATTTGAGGAGCAAAAAAATGTTTGTAATTTAATAAGGTCTTACAAGGTCGTGGTATTGTGTCCACATAGAGATTATTTCAATTCCTTATGCTGTGTATTATTCCTATCAGATGTTTATTCTTGTAAAATGCGATCTTTAGTATTTTCACGTTTATACAATAGTTGTCTGATATATTGCAGAAATGGGAGGTGTTTCAAAAAATAACAGAGTTATTCATTCTTGTTCCAACTCTCCTCGGATTGAAGGGAAATCTCGAAATGACCTTGGCATCTAGAGTATCAACTCAGGTATACATCAATTATTCTCTTTCATTTTCTACATTATTATGTCTATGAAATGCATAACTATTAAATGTGATTTTAATTTAGCATTCTTTCTTATATAACTAGAGTTTTGAATTTTAATATAACTTTTAAATATGAATTATTTAGGTTTATTCGAGAATGGGTCTGCTATCGAACACTATGGATAATACTGACATAAGATTGATTTGCTTTTGTCGCACGCTATAATAAACGCCAAAGTGCAGATTTGTAAATTTTGTTAGTCTGTTTAATATATTAATTCTTCAAATGAAAGCAAACATCACTTGAAAATAATCTGCATTGACATTTATAATGCATAAATTACGAATATCATATTATATTTAAATATTATACATAAATAAGAATAAATTTAAATACATATTTAATTAAATATTCTTTGCGCCATTGCTGCAAGGAATGAAATTTAAATTAAAACAAATTTAAATTCTTAACAAATACGTATAAACGTAAAAAAGCAAATTTAAATTCTAAAAAAAAGCCAAAATAATTTTTAAAAAAAATGTGCAAACATGTAAAAGGGTACCACTTTATTGGAATTACTTTTGGTTTTGACTTTTACCCTTGCCTGCATGAATGACGAAACACGAATTGAATGATTGGAGAGTTAGGTTTAGAGGCAACTTCCCCTTGATAAGTCTGTCTCCTGCCTACTCAACGGTCATTCACATATGCATTTTTAAAAAAAAAATTGTTTAATTTAATTTTAATTTATTAAATTAGTAGATTTATTTTCATGGATAGATTTTGCACTTAATTTGCTTATGCTTCTGAATTTAAATGATATTGTAGATTAGTTCGAGAATTAAATCTTTTACATGTCTGCACTTTTTTTTTTTTTTTTTTTTTTTTTTTTTTTTTAGAATTTAAATTTGCTTTTTTTTTTTACTTTTATACGTATTTGTTAAGAATTTAAATTTGTTTAAATTTAAAATACATAAATAAGGGTATATATCGGGTTTCAACGAAAGTTTCCGGCCATCGTAAATATCGTCTGCGCAAAGAGTTCGAGTTGGCTTGTTTAATCACATTTTGTCAAACGATTTTTTGGCATTTGAAAGAAAGACAATTGCTTTAGAACATCGTGTTGTGAAATTTGTAAAAGAATATCATTATGATTAAATATTGTCGTGGTGTTAAATATATTCACCTAACTTTATTAAGAACGTTTTTTGGCAGAAAACTTTTGTTACAACCAGATATTCTTAAGTATAATATACTAATTTATATTAAGTTCAGTTATTTAATTGAAATGAGTTAGTATCAAACTGCATATTTTTGGAACTTTTTTCACCATTTAGGGATTTAAGTCTGTTGTTAAAGGGTTATATCGTATAAATGGAGATAAATTATGTACTATATTCGCGCAAGTATACGTGGCATGCATGTATAACCTTCAGCGAGTTCTGACAAAATATGTTTAAAAAAAGGTCTCAAAAATTCTATCGAGAGACGAAAGTAGAAGTATTTCAAATGATAATAGCAAAGAAAGTGTGAATTCCAAACAAGGGGATGAAATGGTGACTAATGCTTATTGTTGAAGGCCTGTTCGGTGGGCATTAAACTTAGATTGAATTAGAATGAATTACACTGCGAAGATTAAGTTGTATGGCTATGCCCAAGCAATGCAAATCGAGTGACAGGGAGAAAGTTTGATGAAAATAGAAAACTGTGTGACTATGGATTCAAATAAAGTACTCAGTGGAAAAACTATTACGCAATTGGCAATCGTTTCGCAGAAAGATAGTAATAAATTATCCCACCTAGAAGTAAATGCATTAGGATATATATTCCTGAAATTCGAGTAAATGGATTTTCTGTGTCTGATGAGATGATTCATTTCGAAGCCCAAAGGATTGCTCAAAATAGGAAAATTCCTGAAAGCAAATGTAAGGTCGGTCAGGTTACAACATTGAGCATCGGTGATGCAGCGGTTTCCTAACACCTGTCATGAGAAACTGTTCTCAATTGAGAAACATGCGCTCAATTTAAGAATACGGGGCTACAACTTAAGGGCAATAGAAACCACGAAATCGTTGCTTCTTATTATATGCCATGTGACATCACAAACAATCAGGCAAGTGGAAAAGCAACTTTGACCCAAGCAGGGGGAGCAGCAGCACTGTACCATAAGCGTTGTCCTTTAGTGGTAATGCTCTGCGTTATCATCGAAAATAAATTGCCACCTTTCATCATTTTCAGCCGTAGCACTCTGTCGAAAGAAATCTTTAACACATTGAGCGCCTAGCGTACTATTTCTTAAGCAATCCCGTTCAGGCCACTAGCGCCGCTTAAAAACGCTGGCATCGTAGGGCCAGCGATTCTTATCGCAGTAGAAGATAGTTTGCGTCTGGAACGTGATTCCTATAGGCATTCATTCAACACATTACGCTCCAAGTCTGTTTTGTAAATAGTTACATTCTATGCAAAGATATTACGAAGCAGAAAATTAGCATTACTGAAGTCCGGAAAGAATTACCGCTGTCCCTTACAAGTTGCGAAAAGAAGATATTCCATCGAACAGAAATGCAAGAATATCTAAAAAACGACGGCATAAACTCCAAAGGAAACCGGAAAAAGCCTCTGAAGTACGGAAATATTGTAAATTATGTTGTTATAAAAATGCAACTGAAGCTGGTAGAGTAATGGCTAGAAAAAAAGACTAAGACAGTTGTCACAATTTTGTAATAGCTGTAATGGAGAATTGTTTTTATACTTGTAGTGTTTCAATGAAATCCATTAGTCCTGTAATGAATCAAAATTAAGTAAATTTTAAATAATTTTCTGTAATTCCATAAATTGTATAGTTGTATATCATGTTACACGCTGTCAGCCAGCGGCGGTCGGCGCGGCCTAAACGGAAAGTCTAGTATCAGCCACAGATGGCTGACGCGGCCTAAACGGAAAGTCTAGTGTCAGCCACAGATGGCTGACGCGGCCTAAACGGAAAGTCTAGTGTCAGCCACAGATGGCTGACGCGGCCTAAATGGAAAGTCTAGTGTCAGCCACAGATGGTTGACATGGCGCTCAATGTGTTAACCTGAAATATTGTCTAACTTCAACGTCAAGGATGGATAATAGATGAAATGTACATGGAATAACTAAAGTCAGAGTGGTTTCGACGTCTAAATGCATTGTTGCGTTGGTGGTCCATGTTTGAAATTGAAAACTTCCGATGCTACCTGAACTAAAGCGTAATAAACATGATCAAAGAAAAGTCGCATAATAGATTTGATGCCAGAAAAGGTGATTGGAATGTTGCAAACGCTTTACGTATCTTTCTTATGCCTGCTTAGATTCATCTGCGACGTTTTCTATTACGCCTGAAGGTGCAGTGCCACAAGAGTTGATGCCGACTAAGAAAACAGTCTTTGCTTCAGAGGTGTGAATGGACTTTAGCATTTTGGAAACTAACACCAGAAGAAATGATGCCGAAAAATCACATCATTTCCACTATGATGTCAAAAGACGATGCAGTGTGTCTCGCATCTTCTGAGAGCGAAGACTCGAGTGGTACTGATAGTGAAAGTGAAATCTGAGGTAAAAGACAAAGCGATAGCTGCCAGATTCAAATGAATGCTATTTGCAGTGCACATGCTGCTAAAACACGTAAATACAATTATGGTATTGAATCATTTTAAATTGTTCAAAAATTATTCATTATCTCCAGAATCGCAACACACAACTTTAGCCAAACATTTAGAGCAAAATTGTGTGGCTTATACCCGCGTAAATATGATATGTTTTAGAATATGTGTTTCACGATAACTGTTTATAAACAGTAAATTATTTTGAACAAAAGTGAATTCATCGAATAAACTGAGGTTTTGTTTTTTCCCATTGCAGGCCAATCTAGGCAAGCTGAATTCTTTTAAAGAACAATGGCAAATGTGTTGGGGCAATATGGCTTTGATACAGGTAAGACATCACTACATTTGGGGGGGGGAGAAGTTAGAGGAAATATTTAAAATATTATGTGGAGACAAAGAAATAATGAAGACATGAAACAAGATCAAAATACTAATGAATAAAATAAAAAGACGAGATTTTGTCAAATGATTTATCGAACAAATAATCTACTCATATTACAGTCAAAAGTCTTTAATCCGGACTCGTCGGGACTTCGGCGATTCCGGATTATCGATTTTTACAGATTATAGATCATCAGTTTAAATCTGGTAAGATGGCATGCAGAAATTATAAAATTAAAAATATGAAACCGTAATTTATGAAATAAAGAACAATTATGATCTAAAGGGTATCAAAATTTACAAAAAGAAAAAGCTTAATATTTATTTGTTTACTTTATTAAACATTTCTTTCAACGTAAGTTGTTTATGTAGTAGTATGTAAGTAGATATGCTTTTATCCATTTTTTGTAGCAATTCGTTTTTTTGTTTGATGGACATCGAAACATACTTTCGTTTTCTAGATCCTTTGGGAGCTCCAGCATCGGAAATTCTATTTGACATAATCGAAAGTTCAAGCTTACTTTTAGAAAATTGCTCTTACAGTCTGCAAAAAATAATAAGCCGGATCCAATTTGAAGATTAAGGAACAACGCAATTATCAACATTAACTGAAATAGATAATTAGATAATTTTAGCTTTTACCGTCCGTTATACATTAAACGCGCACGCGAAAACGTATTCTGCACTTGCGCAGATGCATATGCGCAGTCGTAAATGTCTTGCGCGCACGAGTAAAACGCCTATGCGCATGCATCAATGCGGCGCATGCGCAGAAAGATTTTAGCTTTGAGGTTCGGATTATAGATCATTCCGGATTACGGGTGTCCGAATTAACGACTTTTGACTGTATAGACTTTTGTGTATGACCTTTGTATTTCACAAAGCAAGATAATTTTAGGATTTCTGACTATGTCATCTAGACGATATTTTACAAAAATAACAAAATACCATCTAGATAAACAAACGGTGACTATCTGCTTCTTTAAATTTTCTTTGTTTATTTATTGCATGTAGGTATAAGTTAACGCCTGCCATCGCAGAAATAATTTATCTGCATTTACATGGAAAATATTATTTTCTTTATATTTCTTCCATATGTATCAACCATACTGATTTTTAAAATAAAATAATGTATTCTATTTTAATACTTTTTATGGAAAAATTTTGACCTAACCTACCTGATATCGTTGGTGAGATACTATGTAACAATGCTGTTAAATAGGGCACACAAAAAGAATGTCATTGAAAAATTTTCAAAAATACACATGGTGATTTTTATATTTTATAGCAAAATTAAATTTTTTTCGTTACTTTGGTATGGATATGTGATATTTACTGGAAAAATCAGAAAATCCCTCGATAGTTGTCATTTGTTTTGCTGAAATAAATGACCAAGCAAACATTTTCCAGAATAGAAGACGGCTGCTCATCATTATTGTTTTAATTCCATTTTTGTTTTAATTACATTGTAAGTACCATAAACTGTTCATATTTTTCTGATTTTAAAATACGGTAATTTGAATCTGCTTTTCATGTAAATATGTACATAAATGGAGTACTTTGAATTTATTTTATTCATTATGTATTGTTGAAATATAGCACCGCTTCCTTGTTTACAGAGGAGCCCCCGAGCGGTAAAGTCACTGAACACTGGTAGTTCGGTCCGAAGTTCGAATCCCGCGAATGGGCTGGCTACATAGGCGTTTTCGTGGTTTTCCTCATGTGTAACGTATATACGAGCCAGTTTCCCTTAGAAAGTCCTCCATGAAGGCATCCCTCCCCTTAAGCATATAGCCCTAGTGTGCTTTGCCATAATTAAATAAACCAAACCAAACCTTCTCAGAGGAATGCTTATTGAAAATGGGCTTAATAAGCTCATATTTTAGCCATTGTTTCTTCTATCTGAAAATTAAACGTAAAAGAATCTATTAACCTTTTCTGTCAAACAGTATTAAACCATTTCTGTCAAAATGGTTTAATAAACAAAAATTTTGTATCTGAAACACAAGTTGGAAAACGAAACATTAAAAAGGGAAGAAAAAAAACCTCATCACTTAGGTGGAGACTTAGCCTATCATTTTATATTCTATTTCTGCCTTCACTGAACTCCACCAATTCAATTGCGACTACTCCTCTGGTCGCAATTGAATGGTCAAAGTGGCACCAATTCTGGCTTCTGGACATCTATAGTTGTTGCTGATTGGAAACTAACTCCTGAAACTTAGTTATGTACAACATCTTTGGAATTATCCGGTCCAAAGACTAGAGTAATGTCCTATCACCGGCCTGTAAAATTCGCATAACCTGCCCTCGACAAGACGACCCCATTACGAGCATCGCCGTGCCGAAGTAGCGTACTCACTACCAAGTATGTCTTGTGAGTCTGATGCGTTTAAGTGTACCACAAAGAAAATTGTTCATCCACCGCGTATTGGGCAATATCAGCAGCTTGGTGGCAGGCCCAGTGGTGTAGCTAGGGTGGGGCAAGGGGGGACATCCGTCCCCGGGCACAGCATCCAGGGGGCGCCAAATTGATGATACATATTTCAGAATGAAATTTTTTCCATTCTTGGAACACAGAAAGAGGCGCAAAATCTTTAGGAGTTCCCGGGCGCTGAAAATCTTAGCTACTGGAAATCTAATCTTCTGGGCAGGCCTCTTAGTCGCCCTCACACAAAGAACGTTGCCATCTAAACTCATGAGTGGTCTATTATCAGGGGCGTAGCTAGAGGGGGGCATCTGTCTTCAGGCGCAGAATCCAAGGGGCGCCAAACTGATGTTACGACATTTTAGAATTAAATGTTTTCCATCCTTGGCAAGCAGTAGGGGGTGTGAAATCTTCAGTTGTCCCTGGGCGCTGAAAACCCTAGCTACAACTCTGTGTATCATGAATTGTTCACATAATCTATGAATTCTTCTACTTAGCAGGTAAAACAACATGTAATTATTAGAAGTATAAAAAAAGAAGAAAGTCGTTAATATTATTCCTGTTTCCTTTTGAACTTCATTGCATTCAATTATAATTAAGATATTAAATTGTAAATAATTTAACAGCATTGTGTTTAAATAAAATTAGTCATAACAGATTATAACATTTTGTTTGTACTTCACTCCTCTTTAAGTGCCAAGCGACTGTGATGGGATTACTCGCTGCCACCTTTGCAACCATCATGAGCATTGCCAATGGTGGGTTCAACATCCACCATGCCCTCCTGCTGAGTGCCAGTTCGCTTTTCACTGCATCATTAGCCAGTTTGGTCTTGGGTAAGTATTAATCTGTTTCTTTCATAATCATGTGCAGTGTAACAATTAGAAAACGAGGTTGTTGACAAATGAAATAATTAATCATTGTATTGCATGACTTTGATTTGTCTGACGCAACTCTTTTTTTTTTTTTTTTTCTTTATATTTGTGCCTTGCAGCTCACAATCGTATATTTTCACATTTAAGTCACGTTTATTTAAGTCATGTTTACACATAAGTCACGTTTATTTTTTTATTTTCACATTAACCCCTTCGAGCCGGGTAGCGAAAACGCGCGCTTATCGCCGAGGCCGGCAGTGTCTTACGCGAGCGTCTCTCCAGGGCCGGGGGCTTTTTTGCTACTAAGCCTAAATCCATGAAATTTCCGAAGTATCAACGCATTGTTTAATAATGCTCTATAGAGTATTTAAACGGCTTATGCTTTATAGATATTTTTATATATATACTTTAATTACCTTATTTCTTGTTTAAATGCATATTTTACACATTTTATTTTAATTACTCACCATTTTATGAATTTTAACATTATACCTCTGAAAACTAAATATATTACTTAAAATTCTCTTTTCGTATGAAAAATTTGAAAACGGGGATCTACACACAGTCCTACGTTACATTCCTTGCACTCATAATAACTCATTTGCCGTTTTGGAGGATTTTTCCGGGAATATGAACAAACGAAGCATCGTCATCTCATTTTCTTATCAGTCTCTTCTGAACAAAGTTTTGGAAAATGTCTTTCAGTTAATCTTTCAGAATCAGTATCAGAATATCAGAATTTCAGAATCAATATCTGAAATATTTTGCATCGTTTCTGCTATTTCATGCTCTGTTAAACCTTTTCGACGCTTCGACATTGCAACGGTAAAAACAAAGAATTCACATCTAACAAGATCTAATTATTTTCTAAAAACTGAACTGCAAACCGAAATACCCAATGCTTTAGAGCAAATAAAACTTATCTACTTGCAGTAAACAACTAACACGTGCGAATAAAGTGCGATTTAAAGAGACGTCGTAAATCACGTCCTTCGGAAACATTTACTTCCCCGTTTGTTTATATAATCAAAAACATGTGTATGCGAGTCATGCTTCTCTCATTTCGAGTAGAAGGTCTAATGTACATGTATCTGAAACCATATGGACATACAGTGCCATCTTGTGGCAGAAATTATAGTTTGAAAAACGTTTCAAAGTACTGGCACAAATACGTGACAGTCGGTAGAGAACGGAACAATCCTCTGGCACGCCTGCGTGTCGGCCGGTAGAAAAGTGTGTTCGTTGCTGGCACGTATACGTGACAGTCGGCGCGAAGGGGTTAAGTTCTGCATACAGAAAAAATTGCATTCTTTTAAAAAGTCTTAATAAAATGATTTATTTTATTTAAAATATTCAAGAAAAGAGCCTGAAATCTGTTAACTGAGTGATTATTAACTATGTGTAACTCCTTCTATTTGCAAATGAATTCTCGCATCTTGAGTGAGATGTTAATTCTTAGTTATATCAAATTTGTGTATAAAATATTAGCTAATTTCACAATAATTCGCTACCCAAAATCCACCATCCACAACTGCCAAGCAAATTGTTTGATCTTGGATTAAAATGAAACAGGTAACTTGCAAATTTACCATGACTAGATAAAAACTGAGACACTCTAAAATTTATAGAGAGGAAAGACTCGGAATGCAGTCTATGGTAAATAGAAGGAAAGAACTTTTTGGTGTGTCCTTCAGAACTAAAATTAGTAGTGTTATTTTTAATATTTATATGATATTCTCCGCATATGATATAAATATGGCTTTAGTCCTTTTAGGATGACGTCTGCAACGATATTCCTTCCTTGCCGGATTAATCTTCATCTGTTTAGTACATTAATTTTTTATATTCCTTCGTATTCCTTTCTGACTGAGTTCTTTATTTTCCAGGAGCAATCACTTTAGCTGTAGTTGTGGTGTCACATAAGTGCAACATCAATCCAGATAATGTCGCCACTCCGATCGCTGCCTCCCTAGGCGATGTAACCACGCTGGCTCTCTTAGCCGCCATTAGCGGCTACCTTTATCAGTTACCAGGTAAGTTAAATAAATTGTGTACTCAAAGAAGTCCATTATTATCTGCAAAGTAAAGAGTAATTGATGGGGTTGTCATAATTTTAATATGTGGTCTAATTCGAAAGAAGAAAGCTGATAAACATATATCGAACTGTAATACTGAAAATCCTCTACGAACGCATTCGTTCCGACAGGCAGACAGCCCTCGAGTTGATTTCCCCGACATCAATTCACTTAAAAGCATTTACTAATAGCTTATTTTATGTTTGATGCAAATTGCGAGTGCTTTTAAAATTCAATAAAACCTACTTTTGTACTACTTTTTGAGTCATTTTCTTGCTGTGGAGTACACATGTCATATTGACTTCTGAGCAACTCAAATGATTCACGCATTTTGAAAATGCTATATTACGTACACACATGAAAGATGTATGAAAATAATCCACAAACTCAACAAGTTTATACCCCCTCTACAAATATTCAGTATGTGCCCCTTTGGTGACATGACACACGTCCAGACGATAATTGAGCACATGCCATACTTTTTGTAGCATTTTTGTCCAGATGTTCGTCCTGTTGATTGACCAGATGTTCAGCAACAATTAAAGCCGGAGGATTACGTGCGTTGACTAGATTCTTGAATGCAAGAAGCATTGGAGGATGAAGGTTTCACCACCAATCTGATATTCAACGATGAAGCAACGTTCCCCTCATGCGGGAACTTGGTGAATTTGTGGTTGTTTTCATATACAGTCAAAAGTCGTTAATTCGGACACCCATAATTCGGAATGATCTATAATCCGGACATCAAAACTAAAAAACTTTCTGCACATGCGCCGCGTCGACACATGCGCAGAGGCGTTCACGCGTGCGCATATGACCTTTTACGACTGCGCATATGAGTGTGCGCAAGTGCAGAATACGTTTTCGCGTGCGCATTTTATGTATAATGGACGTATAAGCTAAATAATTATCTATTTCAGTTAATGTTGATGATTGCGTTGTTCCTTAATTTTCGAATTGCATCCGGCTTATTATTTTTTGCAGACTGTAAGAGCAATTTTATAAAAGTAAGCTTAAACTTTCGATTATATCAAATAGAATTTCCGATATATATTTGTTAATATGTAAAGGATCTAAAGCGAAAGTATGTTTTGAAATCCGAAATCTGTTTATCAATTTCACGCTGCTCGGCGGCGGGCGCGTAATGAATTGGAAGTTGATTTGTCAGCACTATCCTTATCTTCAGTGCAGATGTTTTTATTTTATTTGGCTATAATTCCTTACCAAATGTAGTATTTCATCTCCATATGCTCCGTCTTTGATATGATTTAAAACAAGTTCCTCGTCATTATAATTCGCTTCCGATAGCGAAGAAAAGTGACAGAGGTTATTGAAAACAAAAAAATTTCGATTGACAAATTAGTCGGTGTTCTTGACACAGCAATTATAGGACTTGAACGGCGGAACTTTGTAACTGAACAAGAAATTATGTCTGTTTAATAGAATTAAAGAGAAAGTATTATCACATGAAACGAAGCAAAACTTAAACAACTTACATTGAAAGAAATGTTTAATAAAGTAAACAAATAAATATTAAGCTTTTTTCTTTTTGCAAATTTTGATACCCTTTAGATCATAATTGTTTTCTTTATTTCATAAATTACGGTTTCATATTTTTAATTTTAGAATATCTGCATGCCATCTTGCGAGATTTAAACTGATGATCTATAATCCAGAAAAATCGATAATCCGGAATCGCCGAAGTCCCGACGAGTCCGGATTAATGACTTTTGACTGTATTTTTAATGTGTGTATGCGTAATACTTTTGAAAATATAGCCTTTTCAAACGAATCCATCATTTATGCTAGCCCTGTACTATGGACTCTTTCTTTAATTTTGCTGTTCTTTTTCATCTTTGCTTGTTCTGGCTTTGTAGACTTCCGTTGGAAATTCCTACAAAACCAGAATGTTCCATTGGCTATCGGAAATTTAAAAAAAAAAAAGTTTTTAAATCTAATTTTTGTATTGATAAAAAAAGTGTAAAACCAGCAACCACAAATTCACCAAGTTCCTGCGTGAGTTGAACTTTGCTTCATCATTGAATATTAATATTTTGTAAATTACTGACTGAAACTAGTTTGTTCAAATGAAACATTGAAGTAGAAATTTTACACCTAAAGGCTGATGTTATTTATTTTTTGTATTTATTATGTTTTATTAACAAAAATTTCACTCCTTCCTTTTTATTTACAGAATATCATAATGTGCATTTGATGGCATAGTAGGAGAAAAACTAAGAAAATATTTTTAAATAAAATATTTGCTTGCACAGGAATGCGAATGAAATTTTAAAAATCGGGAAAGTTACTGAACATGAATAAAATGCTGGCAGTCATTAGTAGCCTTTCTGAGACATAGGTTCATGAATTCAATTGAAACATTACACAAACAATAAATAGTGTACTCATATTTTCAGTACAAATTTTTAAATAAGTTCTTCACTAATAAATATTTTCCCTTAATATTTTCATCTTCTAATTTCAGATAAGATAATTGCTCCTGTGGGGGTAGTGAGCCTTTTTTTGGTATTTGTACCGGTTTGGGCTTACCTTTCCTACAAGAACCCATTTGTTAAACAAGTTTTATACTCTGGTTGGGTACCTGTGATCCTAGCGGTTGTCATTACAAGGTAAGCAGAATTCTTCTAAACTCAAAATAGCAAAGTTTTTGTTCAAAAATCAGTGATTTTTCTATTTGTGTAAAATTCATTAAACTGGCTTGCGGTGCTTACAAAAATAGGATGTTTATACACGGTGGACATATTGTTTAGTATAATTTAACTTAACTGAATATTCACAAAGAATATGTAATTAATAAACAAACTGCATTTAAAGAAGAGCTGTAACTGTAACTAGAAAGTTAATACAGTCAAAAGTCGTTAATTCGGACACCCATAATCCGGAATGATCTATAATCCGAACCTCAAAAGCTAAAAACTTTCTGCTCATGCGCCGCGTTGGCACATGCGCACAGGCTTTTTATGCATGCGCGTAAGACCTTGACTACTGCGCATATGCGTGTGCGCAAGTGCAGAATACGTTTTCGCCTGCGCGTTTAATGTATAACGGACGGTGTAAATTAAAATTATCTAATTATCTATTTCAGTTAATGTTAATGATTGCGTTGTTCCTTAATCTTCGAATTGAATCCCGCTTATTATATTTTTTGCAGACTGTAAAAGCAATTTTATAAAAGTAATTTTGAACTTTCGATTATGTCAAATAGAATTTCCAATGCTGGAACTTCCAAAAGATCTACAAAACGAAAGTATGTTTCGATGTCCAACAAACAAAAAGTGGAATTGCTGCAAAAAATGGATAAAGACATGAAGAATGTGACAGAAAGGTTAGTGAAAACGAAAAAATTTCGATTGACAAGTTAGTCGGTATTCTCGGCACAGCAATTAATGGGACTTGAACAGCGGAACTTTGTAACTGAACAAGAAATTATGTCTGTTTAATAGAATTAAGAGAAAGTATTATCACATGAAACGAAGCAAAACTTAAACAACTTACATTGAAAGAAATGTTTAATAAAGTAAACAAATAAATATTAAGCTTTTTCTTTTTGCAAATTTTGATACCCTTTAGATCATAATTGTTCTTTATTTCATAAATTACGGTTTCATATTTTTAATTTTAGAATTTCTGCATGCCATCTTACGAGATTTAAACTGATGATCTATAATCCGGAAAAATCGATAATCCGGATTTGCCGAAGTCCCGACGAGTCCGGATTAACGACTTTTGACTGTATACTAAAATATTGAAGGAAAACTGGATGAATGATACTTTTTAATATTCGATAGTGGATGTTGGAAAAATTCCTATATGCTAAATGGTTAATAATATATAGGAACTATTTTATTAATTCCTTTATATTATCTTCAACGTATATGGCAAAAAATAGTTTAAGATTACTCTTTCAGACCTACAGGCGTTACTTTATAAACTTCTTATTTTAATACTTTATCTGAGTGAATTAATAAATTATATGCATTGTAAGTATGTAATCTATTTTAAATAAATGACAATGCGTCTCGCTTTGATAAAAATGTACATTGTTTTAATGAAAAATAAAAGCATAATACTGTTTTTTAATGCAAAATTTAAGTTGATGGCTTGTAAGAAGATATAGTTTGGTCAATCTTTCACTAGTTTATGAGAATATCAATTAATAATTTCAACTTCATTAGCAAACAAAAAATAAGCTTTTATGAAACTGCTTTGTAATTTCAACGATGTTATTTTATCATTTTCAGTGTGGGTGGTTATATTCTAGAATTTTCAGTCACACAGTTCAAAGGATTTGCCATTTTTCAACCAGTCATCAACGGTAAGTTTAGGTTTTTTGTCAATGTTTCTCTTTCTCTCTAAACACTGAAAATTTAAAGAAAGTAAACAAAAATTTTTTTAGTGATTAATAAATGAACCTTAGAATTGATAGCTATTCTTCATAAGTTTTTGTTTCGTATTCAAATATTTACTCATACATGAATATACGGTGTAATATATAGAGTATACAGTGGAATTTAAAGACTGAATTAGTCAAATGTTGATTTTGTAGTTTGTTTTAAACCAATATTTTTTAAATAATCGTTCAGCATTACCAAGTTTGTATCTGGCCTATTTTGAAATGGAATGTTTGAAAAACCATTTTTTTTTATTAATTTTATATGATATACTATTTTATAGAAAATGAACATAGGATGTTAAAATTTTGTATCCTTATTTGAATGACCTTCCATTTCTCTTAGTTCAGAACCATTAGAAAAGAAAGTTGTTTCATGAAGAACTTTAGTCTTAAACGAAGACATCCGTCTCTTAGATGGGTAAAGACAGTTCGAGTTTAGCCATATAATCCAACAAATCTCAATCATTTTTCTACTCTAAAGATCCATAAAACTAATCCTTATAATATTGTTGGGTTCATAATAGATTGAATGCACAAGTTCGATAATAAGTTAATAAAAATTTATTTTTATCAAAAGCAATATTTCAGAACTCTGGAATTTTCCACAGAAATATTCATAACAAATGTTCACAATATAATCAGTAGTTACACTATAAACTACTAAAAATGTTAAAATACATTGCAATGGAAAGAAAAAGCTAATTCAGATATCTCAAGTCACATGAAACTAAACAACTCTCAGCATGAGTAACTGCCCACCAGCCGCTGAGCGGTAAAGACGTTGAACACTGGTAGTTCAGTCCGAGGTTCGAATTCCGCGAACGGGCTGGCTGCATGGGCGTTTTCGTGGTTTTTGCCATGTGTAACATGTATACGAGCCAATCTCCCTTAAAAAGTCCTCCATGAAGGCATCCCTCCCTTTAGGTAGATAGCCCTCGTGTGCTTTGCCATAATTAAATAATCTAATCCAACATGAGTAACTAAGCAACTCAGAGCAGATTCTTTCTCTTCGGCCTTAAATAGTTTTCAACAGGCCGCGAGATATTTCTAGTACTTTCTGCTTCTCGAAATCACTGGAGAGCAATAGAGACAGGAATTACGATTACAGTTAACACAGTGGTCAATTAAATTTATTCACTCTTAATACAAATTACAGATATATTGTGTTAAGTGCACATGCCCTTTAATTCTTACTTTTCCGGGATACCTTTCTCTTAAAATGTGTTTCACGCTACGTTAAACAGAACAGTACAACAGTTTTAATTATAATTCTGCTAAAATTACCTATCTGAATACAAAATTGGTAAGAATATACTATTTTACATGTAAAACATCTTCAAAATGTGTTACCTGGATAAACTTCTCCCTCTACCAGAGAGAGAAGTTGCAGAAAAAATTCCCTACCTCGAAATGTTTTCCCTTCAGGAAGAAGAATATTTGTGAGCTCCATGGTCAAGAATGTTTTAAATGGTTTAGAGACTAAAATAAAGAAATAATTTTAGCTGATAGCAGAGAACATAGTTCCAAATGTTTTCTTTATCCTTGCTAAAATTAATTTCATCATTGTTTGGTTATTTTATTTTTTAAATTCACTATTTTAATTTATTACTAATTTAATATATTAATGTTTTTATTTTCCTGTTTACATTTATTTAATTTTATTTATTTATTAGTTTATATATTTATTTTTGTTTGTTTGTTCTGATGGCTTTTTGTAGGGTGCCCGCAAGGTATTTCATAGGTTATTCTAATTATAAAAAGGTAGCATAAGGTTGTTCTAATTATAAAAAAAAATTAAGCCCTTTATAGAATCATGATTTTTATGCTATAAATTTTATGATTATAAAGTGATTAACGGTGTCTCAACGCTGGGAGAGTTTTTCTGAATTCCATTCTATTCATAGCTATAGTTCAACCGTCTCAAACGCAACCTTCGCTGGCATTCTGCCAAAACACATGGACTCGTCCAAAAGGGGCGTTGTTACTTGCTGCGACGTTGAAAGGTCACGTGAAGACCTTCGGAAAAAGATAATTTGTATCCTCGAGGGAACAAAAATACCCAACCTTCTACCTTATTTTGACAATAATTCGGTCCGAGTGGCGCATGCGTGTTTGTGCTCATGGTCACAGATGAGGCCGTCAAACTATAAAATCTGAATTGCATTTTTAATTGTAGCTAAATATTTTTTATACTCTCTGCAGGTGTTGCTGGCAACCTGGTAGCCGTCCAAGCTAGTCGAATATCCACTTATTTCCACCGAAATAGTGAAAAGCCTGGCTCTCGTCCACCAGATGGGTCTTCCTTGTGTGTTTCCCCATTCACCGCATTTTTTGGCAAATGTTAGTATAGCCTTAATAACGAGGAATTAAATGCTAATTAAATGCTGTCATTATTCTTCTAAAGCTCTTATAAATTTGTTTCTTTTCTTGCGTCCGTTTACTAGGCTTAGTGTTGAATTAATTTTACCCATTTATTTCCACCTTTTATTTTGAAGTGTATGCAAAAAATCAGAACTTCATTATGTTTATGTATACAGTACAAAGTCTGTAATCCGGACTCGTCGGGACTTTGGCGATTCCGGATCAAGGGCTTTTCTGGATTATAGATCATCAATTTAAATCTGGTAAGATGGCATGCAGAAATTATATAATTAAAAATATGAAACCATAATTTATGAAATAAAGAGCGATTATGATATAAAGGGTATCAAATTTTACAAAAAAAAAGCTTAATATTTATTTGTTTACTTTATTAAACATTTCTTTCAACACGCGCATGCGTAAAGCGTACGAGTCCAGATTATCTTTGAGGTCCGGATTATAGATCATTCCGGATAATGGACGTCCGGATTACGGACTTTGTACTGTATTTGCATATATGGAAGAAAACTTCTTTCTAATTCTATTAAAAAAAAAAGTCGTGAAGCAAAAGCCTTCATTTTTATTAATCATTTTAATGAATTGCAGTATAAACTATCAATGTATTAATGTGTGCAGTAATTAAATTATAAAAATTAATGTAAACATTAAGGTTATTACAAAAAAAAGGAAAGAAAAAATATTTTTTTTTTCAGTCTAAAATTTCAAAATTATAACTGCAAAAGTGTATTTTATACCAAGATAATAATACCGTATTAGAATTTTATACTGTTTATTAGTAAAATCTTACACAAGTAAAATAGTCACTTTAGTTTTTTTTTTTTTAACATACTGATTTTCAAAAGGATGGTATTCAAACATGCTTTTATTCAAACAAAAGTTGAAGGATATTTCTAAAAAATAATAAATAAAAGTATGTCTAGAGAAGAACATTTCTGAAAAGGATATATAAAAGTATTCCTATACTTTGAAGGGGGGGATCAAGTCTCATAACAATGCTACCTGCCGCATCGGTTGGGCTCGGATTGCATTGCTACATGTTTGAAAGTGTACGGTGTCTGTGCGGCATGGTGGCACTTAAAAATACTCGCTAGTCGAAAAGCTTGATCGTAGGTGAAGAAGAGGGTGAGAAACCTCTGGATCCATCACCTGGGGCTCTCTTTTGAAATTGAAATAGATGTAATGTATTTTGCAGTAATTGACAAAACAGATAATCTTCTTAGTAAAACATAAATTTTTAGTTTATGGAGATGGATAACTTGTATACAATTCTTAAGTGGCAAAATTTTTACACATCTACTAGCTGGTCAAACTTCAGAATACTAATTTTAAACAATTTCTTACGTTGCCGAGCAACGATTACATCATACAAATATGACATTGGCACTTCAATAATAAATATAGTTATTTATTAAATAACAAAATATTACATAGAGCTTCCATTTTCTTTTTTCGGATATGGGCACTGTTCTCAGTGATGAAACAACTAAATGCCCAATGACGGTTGGTCGATGAATGCCCGATGACGGTGACGGTTGCACATTTAAGCAAACAAATAGCTTTTCGCTAGGATGTTTCATTCATTCTCAATTCGTTCTCGTTTTTTTTTTAACTTAAAGTATGTGACGCAGAGTTTAATTATGTGCCTTTTGTTGCAGCTGCCCACGCAAGAACAGCACGGATTTTGATGCTCATGGTCATTCCAGGCCATCTGTTATTTGGCTACGGCATCACGCTAATCAAAGGAGGGAACACGGTGCTCACGGCCACATTTCTGCCCATCTACCTCATCTCAGCATTCATACAGGTACGCTTGGCCATTTTCAGTAATATACAGCATAATTAAAAATGCTTGATTAATTAAACTAATTACGAGACTTTTAGAAATTGATATCCGAGTGCAAATTGTGTGTTAGATGTTACAAGTAGCGGATACTGAGGAATTTAGAAGTGGTCAGTCACCTAGACCGCTGACAGTGCGCCTGACAGTTTAAAATTTAGCTGCTTATATGTTATTATTACAGTACAAAGTCCGTAATCTGGACTCGTCGGGACTTTGGCGATTCCGAATTAGAGGTTTTTTTGGATTATAGATTATAAATTTAAATCTAGTAAGATGACATGAAATTATACAATTAAAAATATGAAACTATAATATAATGAAGTAAAGAGCAATTATGATCTAAAGGGTATCAAAATTTACAAAAAAAAAAAACTTAATATTTAAAATGAAAGAAATGTTTACTTTATTAAACATTTCTTTCATTTGTAAGTTGTTTAAGTTGCTTCGTTACTAATACTTTCTCTTTAATTATATAAACAGACATAATTTCTTGTTCAGTTAAAATTTCCACTGTTCAAGTCCTGTAATTGTTGTGTCGAGAATACCGACTAACTTGTCAATCGAATGTTTTTTCATTTTCAATAACCTCTCTGTCACTTTCTTCACTATCGGAAGCGCGCATGGGTAAACGCTTTACGCGCATGCGTAAGTTTGTGGCTTTGAGATCCGGATTATGGATCATTCCGGATAATGGATGTCCGGATTACGGACTATGTACTGTAATAGATTAAGGGTCTCTAGATACGTTTTCTACACGTGTCATACAATATTAGGCTTATAAAATATATATTTCATTTTCTCTCATTAAAATGTCTGATATGGACCACATGCCTTCCTTGCACGGCCTATTAAATTATAGACATTTTTTTTGTTGCACTTCATTTCAACTTATTTCCTCGAATTATTCTAACTTAATGAACCAATCCCGTGGGGCAAGTCAAAAATGGGAAAAAAAAAAAAAAATTGGAAATTTTGCAATTAAATATCCCACCAATTTTTGTTGTAGGGCAGTTAAACTTCTTGTAATTTCATTTTTTTCATAATGACTATAAAACTTTCCTAAATATAAGTATAGGAACCGGGAGATCGCATTAAAGTTAAATTTCGCTATTTGGTCTTTTTTTTTTTTTTTTTTTATTTGGCATTCTTAAAACATAAATATTTTCATCATTTAAAACCTTTTTGTAATTGGAAGTATATGACCGCTACCAACGATTGCGAAAATAATGACTGGGTTGATATATACGTTTGGTGCTGCCGATTGCAATGAAAAAGGGAGGTGCACAACTAGATGTTATAGCAGTTATGTATAAAAAATTTCAACGTTTTACGGTTATTAGTTTTTGAGCTATGCGAGATACGTTCGTCAAGGAAAAAATCGCGTTTGAATCCATTCTAAATCCATTTTACAGTCCGTTTTGGAAAGGAGTCCGTTCTATCCGTGCGTGCAGATGTTACGCCAAAGAAATCGTCCATATAGATTCGAGAACGATCAAAATGGATATTTCCGTTGAAATAGGATACCGGAAATTTTTCGCTATTACAATACTTCATACAAAGAAGTAAAAAGTTGATTGCATGTATATTGTGGGTATTCCTGTAATCTGAGAGGTGTATACTTATTTTTATTTTCAGATAGCTTTGCTATTATATATAGCCCAGTGTCTCATCCAGATACTCTGGAGGTTCAAGATAGACCCAGACAACTCTGCCATTCCCCTTTTGACAGCTTTGGGAGACCTCAGCGGCATGGCCTGCCTCACCATTGCCTTCTTGATTCACCACAGTCTTTTCTTGTCTTGAATACAGAAAAAAACGTTCTTCATACTGGTGTTGTCTCTCGAAACTTTTAAACAATGCACAATGGATATCGCTTTCATTCCTCAAATCAACATATCACTGAAAACAAATTAATTCCCGGTTTGTGGAATAGGTCTACTTAAATCACCTTTGTACTCGTGAAGATCAAAGTAGTTTTTTAAAAATTTTAATGGCTTTAAAAATAATTTAAAAAAATATTAGATTATAACCAAAATTTTTGTAAGGAGCAGGAATCCTACTTTCTGAATTCATTTTAGCATTCCAATTTTAAATTAATATTTAATTAAATTATCCTCCCCTCTCTCGATTGAATTATTATGCAGAAAACTCATGTTTCAATCTTGCATATTCTCGTTTTTTAGTGTTGTGTTAATAGCCCAGTGTTTACCTGAAAAGAAAAAAATTACCTGAAAAAGAAAAAAATTAAAGAAAGTTAAAAGAAAAAATTTACTTGAAGAAAAAATTACCTGAATTACTTGAAAAAGAAAAAAATTAAAGTTAAAAGAAAAAATTTACCTGAAAAAGCCCGATGTCTACCTGAAAAGAATTATTAATGGCTTATATCATGGCTATTTAAATATTTACTAAGCATAAATTTCTGTAGATTTAATGAGATATGAGTATTTGCAAATCTACAAACCTTCGAACAATGGAAGCCTCACAATTGCCTTTTAAATATATCAGTTTTTAAAGAATATTTTAAAACATTTTAACATTATGGGTTAGATTCTATTTATACTTACATTTTTGTGGGTATTAACGCTGTAATGTTGCACGAAAGTAACGTTCATTTACTTACATTTGTTTCTTCATACGCTTCTGTGCAATGTCTGTTGTGCATTGGCGCTAGCATTATTTAGTGAAAATACCAGTGTTTTTTCAACTGTGATAGTTATCAGTATAATGTTTCCTTCTACACTTTTCTGGAACGGTACTGTGAAGACCAATACTTATTTTTCTCGAATAAATGAGCAGCTAAGCGAGTATTTTAAGGAAAGAATTAGCGTTATAGATTTTTAGAAAAATGCAAGTGTACGATATGAAGTTATATGTAAATTTTGGGGATATAGATGTCATTTAAGCAAAACAAGTGTGGACCAAGTTTTGTAAAGAGTTCATGTTGGATGGCTTAGAACTTATATTATTGCCTAACTTTTGTACGTCGGACATTGTATCGTTGGACTGCAGTTAATACGTAAGGCTCGAAGAATGATGTGAAAGAAAACCTGTTTTGATGAAATGAGCACTTTATTGACATGACATATCAAGCCGAATATTGGAAAATTTATAAAATTAAATCAGGATATTTTTTAAATGATGTGTTTAGTTTTTTTATACATCAAAAAGTGCCTATAATCATGCAACTTGTTTCATAAAGAACGCGTCATCGGAAAGTCTATTTTTGTGAAATTATTTTTTTATCCATTCCGAATTCTGCAATATTTACATTTCCAAAGGAAATAAAACTGAATTGTCAAAATCTGGGCATTTTATACATACGATGGAATGTATTATTGTATTAAAGCGCCGTATGGTGCTGATGTAATGTCATGAATAAAAGAATGAACAAGCAAAAAGTTGCATTTATTGTTTCAATGAAATGTCTGTTTGACATAAAATTGTTTAAAATTCATTAACGCAATATTATATCCCAAGAAAGTTTTAAAATTTTTTTTTTTGAATTTAAATGTAGTAAAAATATACCCTCACACATACTTTTTTTTATTTTGTAATGTTGATTGTTACTTAAAAGATTCCAAATTTTTATAATACCCTATTGATTTGTGTATTTATTTGTTATTTCTTTTTAGCACAAGGCTCTGAAAATTTAGTATTCGTGTAATTTTTCCCTTCCTCGAGATGTTAAAAAATGCGAGCTTTCCTAAACTTTAAAAATGGATTCATCCACTTAGTGCTTGTTTTTATCTTACTACTTGATTTGTTCTTGAAATTTGGGTCCGTGGGCTCTGACAGGGAAGAACTTTAAATAATCGGTTCCGTCGCCCAACCGGTATAGTAGTTAGTTAGCATCGCTGACTGCCTTGCCGAAGGATCAAGGTTCGAATCTCAGAATAGGCATAGATGTTTGTAAATGTATAGTGTCCATGCGGTATGAGGTCTTTAAATATGCGACGAGCCGAACGTCCTCTCGAGAGGTTGGTGGTAGGGAAAGAGGGGTGGGAGATCCTCGGATACGTCCCCCCCTGAAGTGCTCTCCATCAAAATTTGGGGGGGGGGCGGAACTGAGCTAAATTGCACTGTCACCTGTAAGGTGTTCAAGGCTGTTGCCAACGACAGGCGTATCTTGCGGTCCTTGCCAAGGGGAATTTCGTTGGCTTGGGTTGGTGTTACTGTCAGACAAGTGAGCATAAGTAACAACAACTACATAATCGGTTCCTGACGATTCTGAAGATCATTAGAAGTAGGAAGACAGACCATGAACAGTAACAAACCGGGTTGATTTATTTGATTACGGCAAAGCACACGAGGGCTATCTGCGTAAAGGGAGGGATGCCTTCGTGGAAGACTTTGTAGGAAAAACTGACTCATATACAAATTAGACATGGAGGAAACCATGAAAACACCCATGCAATCGGAGCGTTCGCCGAGATTCGAATCTCGAACCGAACTACCAGTGTTCGCCAACATTATCGCTCGGCCGCTGGTGGGCCGAAAGGGGCGAAGTCGATGACTTGCAGGTTGTAGCAGACAGCAGCATGAAGTTAGCAGTGTACAAGAAGTAACAGCGGGGGAGATTCAAGATACAAGAACGTAGAAATGAAAATATCTTACCAGTTAGTGTAATGTTAAAACTACGGTAGAATCTCTTTTACCCGGCAGCAATGAAACCTCACCCATTCCAAGTAAGTTTTTTTTCCGATAATTGAATATATGCTTTTAAGAACTTAAGCTTTTCACTGCAGCATACAAATCCGTAGATACTGCAACATACAAAATTCATTGGTCTCATTTTTCGATATATCGGCCATTATTAAATTAATAATGTCGAAATTAATTTTTAATGCTAAAAATGTCGAAAATCGTACAAATGATTTTAAATAAAAACATGCTCATTTTTATATTTCAGAAAAATGAATCAGTTTGATTATGGTACACTTTGTAGCAGGAGCTTTTGAAGCAGGAGACGAGAAAAATGAACAATGCCCTCGTCGGGACTCGAACCTCGCACCTCTCGAATACGCGCCGAGTGTGCTGACCACTACACCACGAAGGCATGCTAAAAAGGCGAGAAAAATACCTTATATACTCTCCCTTTTAAAGGGAGACTAGGGATTAGGGGACCTAGCCGCCAAATCCTGATTGTGGAGAATTCCACCACCGTTTTTAGTTCGGGCGCCACTGTAGGGACATTAAGTTATTTCGAAGTTGAAACGTAAAAAAATGAGCAATGCCGTCGCCGGGACTCGAACCACGGACCTCTCGAATACGCGCCGAGTGTACTGACCACTACACCGCGAAGGTATGCTAAAAAAGCGGGAGAAATACCTTATAACTTTATCACATGAAATTTGCGAATTTTTAAGTGTGGTGACGTATCGAGGGTAGTCTATATTTTGGGATACCCCTTGAATTAACGCCTAGTTGTTCTATTTATCGCAAAGTTGTTATTTAATTTATGATAACCTGAGTGTTTTACGGTGTATGTTTGCAAACCCTATTATGACGTGGTTGCTTGTGATGCGTGATCTCAGTGATTTTGATTGTTTATAGTTCAGGGCTTAGGAAGTATGTCTTTACACCGTCGACACTATCAAAGGTATGTGGGGTGTAAAAAAAAGGGGGTTTTCTAAAGAAATGCCTCCGACAGTCCTGCACTACGGAGGATAATTTTGATTCTTTACTTTTGCGAATTTATGTATATAGTTATTTATGTTCAAGTTCAGGTAATTTAAACGGTGTTTGCGTGCCGTTGAGGGATTTCCACACATCGAAGACACAGAAATTTCTAAGTAAGGTAAGTCGATATTTCCTTTTTGTACTCCGCAGATTAAATTACACGCATTTCTGTTTTTATATTATTTCCTTGTTTTATTTTAATTTAAAATGCAGTTTATTGAGATTAAAAAATTATAATCTTTTAATTATGTTTTAATGTGTTATGTTTCGGACGCCGTTTTACTTGGGAAATCGTTGCACGTAAAAACGAATGGTTCCAGAAAGTCGCTAAAGTCGGACCTTAAAATATTGTTGCGTTTTTCTTTTCTGACACCAGTTGTTACGTCATTTTCTTCCTTCACTTTCGTACGGAGTTTGTAGATTTGGAGTGAATAATGACGACACTGGATGAAGTATCGAAACACACTTTATTTATCAATATTAATCAGGACAGCTCCAAAACACTTTTACAGTCGTCGAAGATCTGCTATAAACACGTTGGAACAATCAGCGACACAGCCTTCACACTGTCAGGCAACGGTGGAGACAGCTTTCTGCAAATCCCCCGACTCTGCTTTCCGGAGTACAGCTCCCGACTCTGCTTGGTCGTTCTTGGAACTCCCCGTACTCTCGAGACTCTCCACGCTACAACTCGCGATGCACTCGACGACACACGAGCACAGCTCCCGACTCTTCGGTTCAGTCGTTCCCGGAGCTCAACACGCTCTCTCGACGATGCACTAACCGCGATACACTAACAGACTCCTTCGGTGCACTCGGCACTCGCTGCCCGGCTGTGAACTCGATCGACTCCGCAGGGATTGACTCGCTAGACGAGACACACTCTGAGACACTGACTGCGGACCAGCAGGGTTTATATAGCTTTCGGCTTGTGTTCGAGAACATTCTGGGCTAAACCGGTAAGAATTCGTTCCAGAAGATTCTCCAACCGTGCATGGTATATCGCCAAATGGGCGATTTCTCGCCAAATGTGGCAACCCTGACCTTCTTGCTATTTTATGGCAACCCTAAAACTGTTTTGCGGGGAATATATCTCACCGCGCCTGTACGTTTCGTAACAATATATTTTTCCCCAACTTTGAATGCGTACATGTTAACGAGACTGTCGGAGATTTAAAAATTATCTGCGCATGCCATGAGGTTTTCATAACATCGCTCCGCAAATCTTACGAAAAGTGTGGAATGCTTTGCCAATTTCTTTCCATATATCTTTATTATCCTGTGTGTTGTCTTCGTCCTCTTCTTCCTCCTCACCAGCCTTTTCCAGTACATGTCGGATTATTTCGTTGCCATCTCGAGAGAGTATGATAGGAACTCAATTGTCTTCGTTCATCCAGATCTGCACCTGCTCTTCACTAACACTAATTTTCTCTGTCGCACCTCCTAATTCGCCACGCTTTGACTATTCGTGATTAAAATTGTAGATGAACTGTGTAATAGTTATTTAATCGCATTAACTATATGATAAATATCCACGAGACATTTTCACGGGAGATTCTTTTTTTTTTCCGCCCGCAGACTGCAACACATTTAAAAAAAAAATATCTAGAAAACTGCTGAATTAATATTTTTATTTTGTTTCAAAAGAAGACGAAAAGCTTGGTTTCTTAATCTATGAAGATTTTGAAACTTTGTAGACAATAAAATTTTGTAATCGTAAATGTCGAATAGTCTAACCGAGCGATTTACAAAAATGAACCAAAATTTGAGAAATGAAGTTACAATTTCTGTCGATTTGTTGCGCTATACTCGATGGTCCAAACAGTAAAATTATGTTTAAATATTAAATTTAGAAAACCAAACCGAATTTTGAAATAGGTATAATTTTTACATAGATGTTAGAAGTAAAATATGAATGTACTGGTTTCTAACATACAGAACATCTAGTTTATAGCACTCTGGGATAAACGACATGTAAGCTGTTGGTGTCACAGATGTATTAAGCACGATAACAGTTCGTACAGTATTCCTTCTAAAGGCATTTTATTTTGTTAAGTAATTTTAACCACGTACGTGTCGAGAAATATCTCACCGCTAGGTAAGTAATAGGTTGGTGGTAGGGAAAGCCTCCCCTAGGTAGGTAGCTGGTCTACACCTAGGCCCTCCTTACCTCTAGGTAGATTAGTGGTAGGACAAAAGTACTCTGTAGTACCTTAGGTTCACCGTATATTTAGAGTGACCCCATGCCGCGCAGACACTATACATTTACAAAAATCCATGCCTTCTGGATTTAAACCAAGGCTATTCGGTACAACAGTCAGAGTCACTAACTACTATCTCGGTTGGTTGGCATTCGTTAATTGTAGTTAACTAAAAAAAATTAATTTGCATGACGTTTATGGTGGCGGTTTAAGACCTGAAACATCAGTTTGTATTTAGATAGTTAAAAATTAATTTAAAGAAAATTATTCGTAACTCTGGGTATTTTTAAAAATGTTTAATTGGCGGAACAACTGGGAGTTGACGGGAAAATTTTTTTAATTTTGGATTGGAGGGACATAGATGGTTCTTTATGCGGGCATTTTGCAAACTTTTTTGTATTCATAAAAACTTACATATCCTACTAACTGAGTTCTTAATTTTAAGCACTCTTTTTAAAATCACTTTTTGACATCAAACAGCATGACTTGTATTTTATTCACGGCATATTCAAATAATGTCAATCTATTTTCTTTGCATATTAAGAATTCAGATAACTGAGTTCCTAATGTTCGATATATTTTTAAATCGCTTTTTGACATCAAACAGAATAACATATATGTCATTCACGGCTCAAATAATGTCAAACTATTAAGACTTCAAAATCGATTCTGTTCTGTTTAAATCTGTCTTTTAAGCGACAAAAATCCACATGTTGTACGATTCTAATTGCTGATTGTTACATTATAAATGCTCATAGAACCACATGAATTTACGTCCGAAGTTTCAGTTTAAAATACGTTTTCTCTGATCACGACTAGCAGTACCCTGAGCCAAGAAATGTTAATCACAGATTTTTTTAAATTTATTTAACATGCTTCGCCATTAGGCACTACGCGGAAACAGAAGGATGGCCCGTGAATGTCGTTTTAAGGGAAACTGGCTCGTACCCACTTTACACATGGGAAATCCACGAAAAGGCCCATGCAGCCAGCACTCGAACCCCAGATCGAACTACTAGTATTCAGTAGCTTTTACCGCTCGCTGTTGAATCACGGCTATCAGTATGCTAACTGGTACTCTGCCGCAGCACTTCTCCAGTAAAAATATTAACTTGAAAATTCCCGTATGAAGATTAATCTGGTAGCTTGTAGTATATTTACATTGACCTATTCAGAAATTTCGTTTCTGTTCTTCAAGTATGTTCCATTAAACGTAAAATTGTTTGTTAATGCAAGATAAGGATTAATGTTTACACAATTTTTTGTTTCAATTGTTAAAAAGAGGAGATAGAGTAAAGAATTTTACATATTTATTTCAATCATTTTTCATTTTGAAGTTTTTGTTGTTTACAGAAGTATATAAACATCTTGAAAGCTTTGCGTTTCAAACCTGAAAAAGAATAGAAAATTATTCTATGCTAAACTAGCTTATTATGCGATTTGCTATTTTTATATTAATGAACGTCTCTTATCGATTAATAATATTTTAGATTTACTGTCTCGTTAATAAAGACACTGATGGTTAGATATCTTTGACATATCATGCTCCGTAATCAGTACCACTTAAAAGTAATTTTTTAAAAATGCTCGTAAAGAATTGCTTAAAAGTGTTCTCAGAATTAAATATATACGGAATCACTAAAAGTGCAACAGTTAATTTATTATTATTATGTTTTTAGCACAAAAAGGAGGTTGGTCACGAAACGGCATTTTACGTCGAAACGCTTAAATGCGTCGTATCTTTTTCCAACTGTTGCCACCAAATATGATCGCCCTGTGTTTTATATTTATAGAAATTCCATAATGAAGAATCTCCATAAATGTATATATGTTTCTGGTACTGCGAAAAAACAACGGTACTTACAGCCATCCGATTTTGAATAACGTAGTCCTCCATCCGACCATGGGAAACTGGAAGCTCGAATTTTGAATTTTGAATTTGTTTTATTATCTGCTAGCCTTCGTCTGGCTTTTAAATGTGTCGAAAAATGCATAAAGGGAACACCAAACATTAAATTTAAAAACTGCACAGAAGTTTACTCTGCAGAACAACTTTATCAAAAAACACTTTCAATAAAGATGTATTACATGTAAAAAATTACAAAGAAATAAACAATATCCCTTAATACAAATATTAATTATTCTAATAAATAAATTAACCAACTTCCCGTTTCCTTCTCTCGACAAACGTCCAGTGTCCAAGAGAAGCCTTAAATTTAAAAACTGCAATGAATTATCGCTCTATTTTTCCAAGTGACAACAGTTCCGATATCGGCAACAATGGCTGTGTGTCGATTTATCTGTTTAAAGCTATTTCATCAAAAAACATAAAATAAAAAAATCTCATTCGAATTTTGAAAAAACCCGCTTTAAAGTGCACTGGCTCTTGTCTAGATGCACCTATGTATCAAATTTCATAACCCTGGGTCAATTAGCTTACGTGCAGCATGAACGAAAGCACACAGAGAGATAGAGACTTTTCCTTTTATATATATAGATTTCATAGTTTGTAAAACTCTAACGAATTTTTGATTAACAAACTCAATGATTTCGCAGCGAGCAGCGGCAACTTTGTACGGAATTGTACGAGCCAGTTTCCTTTAGAAATTCCTCCACGAAGGCATCCCTTCCCATTAGACAGATAGCTCTAATGCAGTATGCCATAATCTCAATAAACCAAAACCTCCCCCCGTACTGATTCAACAATTTTTGATTTACTTAGTTTGGAAATTTGAAAGTGGTTAAATGTCTACGAACAAAAAGCTGAACTTGAGGCCCATAAAACTTACTCTCAAGTTTCATTCAGCTTTTGAACTCCCCGAAATTAAAATCACTTTTAAATCAACCGACTTTCTTTTAACTTACTAGAAGCGGCTTTTAGTTTCACCTATCTTAAAGCTTTATGCACTTCATAAATTTCACAAAAACTGGCATTTTATTTTGCTTCCTTGTTTCCAGTTTAAGAAATATTTATTCATATCTTTAACAAAATATTCAGCAACTAACTTTTTCCTCATTCGAGTTTTGTGAAATATTAGTTTTAAGATTTTTTTGTTGTTTAACGTTATAATAAAGATAGTTAGATTTTGCTAAAGTAAATTATTTGACTTTAACCTTTTAACTGTCATGCCCGAGTTAAACTCGGGCACAGCACTGGTGTTCGAAAATGTCACGCCCGAGTATTACTCGGGGTAATTTTTTTCTTTTGAGTGTATCGTATTGTTATACCCGAATATATATCGGGAGACGTTTATTTCGGCTTCATTTCTTTGTCAAACCCGACAGTATCTCGGGAAAAGTTAATGTGCGCTCAATTCAATAGATGACAGCACTTTACTGAAGATTTCAGAGGTTATAAGTTCTTTAGTTCAACGTGCACGGTATCTTTTTGTTGTAAAATGGCGTCCAGTTCTTTGAAACGTTATATAGATGATTTAGATTCTTCAATCGAAGATGAAAGATGTGTGTCTGATGTGCAGTATTCATGATATTTCCATGGTCAGCCTCAATTTTTTTTTTTTTTTTTTTTTTTTTTAAGATATACTCAAGCCGAAGATTGTTTCTGACTACAGTCTAACTATGGTGTAGATCGCTGTGATTAGGAAATATCCTTTCATCCAACAATCCGAAAACGTCAGAAAAAATATTATAAAAAGATATTTTTACATTTAACTAGACAAGGTATTTTGGAACTCATATTTACTCTATAAAAATGTAGTTGGGAAACGTATTGCATTTTTAGAATTTCGAATCCAAGTTGTAGAAGAGCTTTTAAATAAATATGATGATGCAGCTTCTGGACAAAAGAATGTTGGCAGACCACCTACAATAGATAACCCGGCCCGTCTTACTGAACGACATTTTATTTCCCATATTCCTCCTACTCCTGGGAAACGTGAGCCTACAAGACTGCAAAGTGTGTTGTTCGAAAAAGGATAAAAATTCGAAAAAGATAAGGAAGGAAACACGGTTCTGGTGTAGAGATTGTGGAGTTGGTTTGTGCTTGGAAAAGTGTTTCCAGTTGTACCACACAAGACGGAATTACTGAACTACTAATACGTATTCACTTTTATTTTATTTATTTATTTTTTAGAAAATAATTAATTTTCTTTCATTTTTAGAAAATAATGCTCCACTAGAAGCGAACTTTACAACTGCCATGTTGTAGTGGCAGCCGCCTCAAGCAAATACGCAGTGGATACAAAACTTAAAAAATTTTACCCATGTACTTCAAAATATCAATTTTTAACTACTTAAGTATATTTCATTTTGTACTAAACATTTGATTTTTCCAATAAAAAAACTTGACACAATTTGTGTACCCAAATCATCAAAATAACTCGACAGTTAAAGGGTTAAAAGTGTAATATTATTAATATGTTGGACTATCATATGAATTAACATACTGTTATTTTTAAATTTTAGTGTAAAATAAATAAGTAAAACGGAGAAAGTTTACAAAATCTGAGAATGTCGATCCGATGTCGAATCTGAAAAAGTCGCTACTAAAAAAAAAAAAAAAAAAAAAAAAACTCTATCCGATTTGAATTAAAATTCAATTGCAAAACTTGGTCAGGGCAATTACTGAAAATGAGTCATTCTCATCGAGGAAACTAAGTGACAATATTACTACTAATCAGATTCATTCGGAATTAGAAAAGCATTCCTATCCTCAAGAACTGTTCGATGAGTCATGAGTGATTGTAAATTTTGAAGACCTGATAAAACGGAGATATATTGATTATAAATTACGAATATCATCAGAAATATTTGAAATGGGATTTGCTTAAAAGAAAAAAATCTAATAATGATAATACTCTTGAGATAATAATAATAATAATAATAATAAGATATAGATAATAATGAATAATGATAATATAATCTCTTGATAATTCTCTTGAGATAATAATGAATAATGATAATACTTTTGTAAAGTCCCGTTAGCAAACGGGACTTTACAAAAGCACGAGATCAGTTTAACCCACTTGAAAAAATTCTTAAAATTAAATGAATAAAATCTCAAAAATCAAACTAATTGTTGGGTAGAAGCGAGCGAACGTTTATTCTTATGCGCATGCATATTAATTATGATGGCGCAGCTGTCTCTTCTCCCGACACATCCGTCATTCGAGCTTCGAGCGTATGGAGATGGTGAGATGTTATTTGCTGTGTGATGGTCAGTATGATTTGCTGTGTGTTCCTTTTATTCATTATTCGTGTAAATAAAGTGTGTTGTCCTAAGATGGCTTCTTTACTCTTAAATATTGGCCTCTGAATAACACTAATGTTGAATCCCACACATAACGTTATACGAAATGGAACATTAATGTTCCATTTCGTATAACGTCATGTGGTCAATGTTCCATTTCGTATAACGTCATGTGGTCATGGTGCGAAGTTTTGTTGATACCAGTCTCATTTGTTTAACAATGGGGAGCACAAGTCCATGACATTCATCGTGGGCTTGTCAAGAGACAAATGCACCTGTCGTTGGCAAAGAGCCTTGAGCGTCTAGGTGACAGCACGACTTTAGCTCAGCTGCGCCCCCAATTTTGAGAGGGATCATCCGGGGGGACGGGTCCGAGGATCTCCAGTAAAATTATAGCATTTTTATAACAGTAATATATTATTATTACGCTTTTAAGACCAAAGTAATTAACTTGAGCAAAATCAGTCAACTCATCGAGAGGACTTTCAGCTTACCGCTTATTTAAAGTGTCCCCATGCCGCACAGATAGTATACATTTAAAAACATCCATATTTCGTCCGGAATCCCAATCTGGGCCTTTTCGGTACGGCCGTAAGATTTGTAGAGTTGCGCGCCTCCAACTTGCACGCAACCAAGAGGTGACTGTTGAAACTAGATAAATGACAGAGTCTTGCTAAGGGTTTAAGCCCCTTTTTATTCAACGTAATAATTTACAAGTGCGTGCTCTTGACGCTCACAAACTACGCCAACTCGGCGGTCAAATAAAAATAAGAACCTGAAAGAACTAATGACAAGACTCTAACTACGAGGCTCTCTAAACGTAGCTAACCTCACCGCGTTCTAAGATACCGCTGATAATTCAGCAAACTTCTGAATATTACGTTGAAAGATTAACAATCTGCCGAGGCAAGCACACAGGCCGAAACGCGGGGTTCTTCAATTTCTGGCTAACTACCTCCGCGCTCGTGAAGTACGAACAGCACACCTCGAACTCGTTTCCTTTCTATTTAACTCAGAATACTTCCGCTGATAATTTGAATCCTTGCGCGTTCAACTAAAATTTACATACTCTGGCATTGGCAGTTCCAGGGGAAAGTAAGGCTTGACAGGAAAGATAGTTTAAACTTAAAATAAATGTTAGTTAAAATAAATATAAACCCTACAGATTCACTAAACGTTCACCAGTTGGGCGACTTTGTAACATTTCGGTTCCCCTGAATCCAAACAGAAAGTATTTTATGCGATAATATGATTATATTATTTTGAATTATACTGCTTGGGAGAAATATGAAAATGTTTATAAGAAGCATACTGTCATTAAATAACTCATTCTGTTACACTTACAATTTTATATCGTAAGCTGGAATAAAAGCTGAAAGATCTTATGTGATATAGCTAATCAATATTTTCCATAGCATTATCTTCAATTTTATTAAATCGGAATCTCAGGCCTATTCTGATAATAACACTGCCTCTTTCACATGAGGGGAGATAGAAGTTTTATCATCTAGCTCCAATATCGTATTTCTAATTGCACGGAAATAAAATTATAAAATGTTTAAAAAAAAAAACATCCTTTACCTTACTGCTTTCTACTCGTACTTCTGGCATCTTCCTATGACCTAAAAAATGATTAAAAAAATATTCGAATTAGATTACTTTTAAATTAATAGAGAAAGAAATGTGAAAAAAAGGCTTTGTTTTCATCCATATAGTTCTGGTATTTAAAACCTACAGCATCAATTAACTAAAAAGCTGCCATTTGACTTTAAAATGCTACATGCTTTTGTATTTCTCTTTTGGATGGAACTTGACAGACTTATGTAATACACTGAATCCCGATTATTCGCTCTCATTGATGGTAGATTGGAAAAGAAAACGTAAGTGGCCTCAGTTGCAGTGAAATAGCAAATCTCCAAAGATTTTGAGCGAACGGCAACTGACATATGTTTTTAAATTGCGTTTCATAAGTATAGCATCTAAATATTTTTTTCCGGAGATTCAAACCTTCAGATCTAAAATTCATAGCAAAAGCTTCTTAAAAAGTACTTATGCAATATAATATCTAATTAATATCAAATGAATACAGGTCAGAATACAATATCGGAATCGTTATTTGCGACACAATATCCAAACTTTGAAAGTACTAGTTTAAAGATCAAAGGTGTTAGAATATTATTTCTTGACATCGTTCGTTGAGGAGATAAAGGTGCACAGATAATCCTCAAAATGAATTATTTCGTATATTTTTATTCGGCAATTTAGAGGGAAAAAACTGTTTTATTCCCAAATTTTAGAAGTACACAAGCAGTTATTTGCTCTAGATATTGTAGACTGTAATTAAAATGATGCTAATTCAAACTGAATTATCCAGGGCAGGCGGCGAGGACGCTCCTTCGCTTACTGCCCCACGGGGTTTCCCCCTTCTACTTGCTTAATTGCTTAAAGTAGAGTGTAATGAAGGAAACCACTGGCGGTACATTTCTTAAGAGCCACCGCTAGCTCAATCAATAAAGGTGATTTAAATAATAAAATGTTAATTCACATGTCAAAGCTCTCTTTGTACGCAACACTTCTTGTGTAGATCTTTCCATCATTTTTAAGCTCACCTTGCAGAGGACCATCCATTATTTTTAATTTTACGTCCGCTCTTTCACGAACTTTGGAACAGGCAACATAAAGTTGGCCGTGTCCAAATGCAGGCTCAGGTAAAAAAATGCCAACAGGCTTAAACGTTTGGCCCCTGAGACTTATTGATGGTCTTAGCAAAGGCAAGTTTTACAATAAATTGTCTACGTCTCAATTGAAACGGCAACCCTGTGCCGTGGCAACTTCACATGTCACAGATCTCTTTGTACACAACATTTCTTGTGTAGATCTTTCCATCATTTTAAGCTCGCCTTGTAGAGGACCATCCATCGTTTTTAATTTTATGTCGGTTCTTTCACGAACTCTTGAACAGGCAACATAAAGTTTATAAGGTATTTCTCCCACTTTCCTAGCGTGCCTTCGCGGTGTAATAATTCTGCACACTGGGCCGGTAGTCCAGAGGTTCGTGGTTCGATTCCCAGTTAAGGCGTTTGCTAATTCTTCATCTCTCCGGCTTTTCCAATTAACCTAATGTCTCTACAAGTTGACCGTGTCCAAATGTAGGCTCAGGTAAAAAAATGCCAACACGCTTAAGCCCTGAGACTTATTGATGGTCTTAATAAAGGCAAGTTTTACAGGAAATTGTCTACGTCACAATTGAAACGGCAACCTGTGCCTTGGCAACTTCACCCCATTGGCTAGTACGGTTACGCAAGCAACCAATAAATTATCCGCGACAAACAGACCCTTAAGCCGCATATAAGAAAGATAATTATTTATTTCATTTTATTTGTTTTCTCATCGTTGCCGGTTTTTGCCGGTTACATATTTCTGAATTCTATTACATATAGATGTTAAATTTATTTATTAAATGCACGTGATCTTGTATTTTTAATTTTGCCGGCTTAGCTTTGTCATAATATTCGTCACGCACAGCACGGGGAATAAAATCGGCGACAAACTCTTAAGCCGCATATATATATGAATTCCATACTCATCTTAGAAATGCTTAATGCAAACTGAAAATGCTTTGAAAAACAACAATTTTCTCCCGCTTCGAAAGACAGAATCCGATTGTTTTCGGAGTGATTTAAACATAAGTCAGCAAATAAGAATTTCCTGGAATTTAGGCTACCGACAGCTTATAAATAGAAAAATAACCATTTTAGACTAATTATAATTAATAAAAATGTCTCAAATATATAATGTTTCGTGTTTAAACAACTGTTTCATTTAAAAAGTGAAACAACGTAACTTACACTTATTTCACGAAACACAAATTCAAATTTCAAAATTGTTAAAAAAATAGCACCTTATTGGATTCTTTGAAAGTCACGAGACTTTTATAGTCAAGTAAAAGCAAATAAGATGCTTACATTTTTTTTTTTTTTTTTTTTTTTTGAAAGATTTTAAAATTTACATCATGGACATCCAAAGCAAGATGCGATTCAAATTATTCTGATCAGCGCTGTAATATGAACAAAATTACTTTGATACGCTTTATTTTTAAGTTTGATCTGTTACGACAAAACGTACAATGTGAACGGATTTCTCTAGGAAGAACCCTTTTAAAGGAAATTAACTTGCACTTTTCTTAGCATTCTTTACAAAAATTAAGGTAAGAAACAATAATTTCATAATATCTTAAAGCGCAGCGGTGCAGGTATTACTGTCATGGTTGACTATCCAGAATCATGTACATGTCAGGTCATCATGAGAGGAAATAATACTAGAATGTCAAACATCGCGTGACGATCGAAATTACAGGATAATTTTAAAATCCAGGCTTACGGTTTTTTGTCAGTTAAGACGAGCTGAAGGTCGCGATCAAGAGTTTTGTGTCGTTCAGTTGACTTTCCTTTATACATTTTGATCTGCCTAGCAGCACACACATTTTGATTGGGCAGCTCGAAAGAGAATTAATTCCTTTCCAGAAATCAAAAAGGTCGATTTTGGGGATAATGTCTTAACAAGTCTTAAGTTTTATGTCTTGTACAGAGTGTGGCTAATCGAAAAAGGAATGCAGACTAATTAGCCAAAATCGCATCAAAAAGCAAATTCCACAAGGAGATGTTTTGTTTCTAAACTTATAAAATCTATTTATGTATTGAGAATGGATACACCTTTTGTAGTTCGCCAGAAGGACGACATAACATGAAAACTTAAATAGATTCTTTAGCATTTCTTAGGGTGATTTTCTTCTTGATCGCAAGTATGTCGAGAGATTTAGTTTCGGTTTCGTCTTTGGTTTGTTAAATTCAGAATTTGATTTATTTAGAGCAGCTATGTGTGGAACACAAAAGTTTCCGGTCATCTGCCTAATCCAACACGGAACTCAACAAGAAATAGAATTTTGAATTAGGCCAAGCCAGACCTATGGGATCATTAGAGCCCCATGAATGGCTTTCTCGATCTCAGTGAAACACTCGATCACTTATCTCCAAGCCTCCAACATTAGGTCGAAAGACCAGCAGACCGATCGAGGACACATACCGTACATACCCGCGTAGAAGTCGACCTCCCCACTTCGACATAAAAAATTCGTAGAAAATAAAAAACCCGCGTATAAGTCGATCCCCCACTTCCGAAATCGATCGAGAAACTTCGAAAAATTTTTTTTAAGTACTACATTTATTCAAAATTATCTGAGAAACAAAAGTAAATATACGATAAAAAATACATTGGTAACTAACAAAATCAAAATCCTTCAACGTCCGATTCATGGTCAGACTCGCCAAACATTTCATAGAACTCTTCTGTCGTCATTGGCTCGTCATCATACATATTTTCAGTCTCGAATTCTGTATTGTTACAATCACTACTAGAGCCTTCGTCGTCGTTTTCACGCAGGATAATTGGGGGGAAAATGATCGTATATAGCAACCTTCTGGAATTTGTTCCGGAAAAGATTCGCGTACGTAAAATCTATCTGCATTTTCCCTTTTTAAAAGTTAAAAGAAATATTCAAAACTGTTCAGTTATTGCGTGGGCTATTTTTTTTAAAATTTTGACGTGTACGACTGTTAACAAAAGTATTTCATGAATGAACAATAACTATTATAAACACTTATACGTACGTAAAAACTATCCGCATTTCTCTTTTCTTGGCGTGTTGGCGAAACTTTTTTTATTGCTCGATATTGATCGGTTGTTCGGCGGCCAAAAATTCTTTGGTTTAATCGAAACTTACTCTAGTTAAAGTATGGAACTCTGTGATTAGTTCGTCACATAATTTAAGTCATGAAATTACTTCAAGTAAGTGACTTATTTGATAAGTCGTCCAGTTTGAGAGCGGGAAGAAAACAACTGCATTATATAAAGAAATTTTTGAACTTCCGATTCTTTTAATTTTTTATGGCCCCGCGTATAAGTCACCCCCCCCCCCACTTTGAAGTCTTTTTTTTTTTTTTTTTTTTTTTTTTTTTTTGCTCAAAATATCTCGACTTATACGCGGGTATATACGGTAAGTGCCTTCCGTTTAGATGAAAAAGACGCCAGAGCAGTTATTGGAAACAGTACCTCACACTTCAACTACCAGGACCAGTTTCCAACTACGCAGGTCTCCATGCACGGAAAACACGTGGGCAGTTTTTCATGTTACAGTAAGACCCAGCTTAACGCGGGGGATACGTTCCATCAAAGTAGAGCGTAATGCGAAACAGCGCTAAACGAGGCTATCTTTACATGTAAATATTGGGGTTAGGGTAAGATGGCTAGGAAATGGTATTAAATTTAAAAAGTATGTTTTTTTAATAAAAATAAAACCAAACACTTATTTCTTAAAGCCCAAATTAATACCACATTATTATTTCTTGCAAAAATAAAAACAAAATATAAATAACAAAACGAATATTCTTAAAAAAAAACAAATAAAATTCTCAGTCATATTTAGTTAGCCTTTCGCGTTTTCAGTGTTCTGCCTTTTTGTGACAAAAGCATCTAATGTTGTTTGCCTTTTTCTTTTGCGTTGTTCTCTTAAAAGTTCTTCATAAACGGATATAGCATCTCTAACACCCACGCCTTACTTTGAGCTCCTGTCAAAATTCGGATCATTTTCAATGAATTGATCCATTATTTCAGTTATGGTAGACAAACTCCTTTTTACAAACGCCATCGAAAGTTCTTTTTGCTCTTCTTCTGAATCACTGCTGTCAACATTTTTGTTTTCTTCTTGTTCGGTTAACTCTTTGAGCTCATCATTAGAAAGACTAGCCGCTGCTTCTTGAATTATTTCTTCGACATCTTCCACATTTACCCCTTCAAAATATGTCTGTACAATACCGCACCAAACAAGAAATACAAGTACACTCTTTCGGGTATGTATTTGAAACCTATCGCTGCATAATATTTCGGGGAATCCCCGTATGCTGCGAGCGATTTCGTGGAATCCCCGGGTTGAAATAAAAGAGCGCTAAACCGAAACAGCGCTAAACGAAACAGCGTTACGCGGGGTCTTACTGTATTTTGAAATTGCAGGTAAGAATTATAACCGCATCTCAAGACGAAACTCGAAAGACGGAGAAAAGAAAACTCAAAGCATTAGAAAAAAAAGGAGAAAAGAGAAAAATGAAAGGATCACTGGAACCCTGGGATCAGGGCACCCGGCCTCACCAAGAAGGTACTTCAAAGAAGGTACTAAAGTATCCTCAGATTATCCTAAAGTAGGATACTTTAGGATTGCCATACGGGTACTCGTAAAGAATGAGCCCCCGAGGGCTCCGATATAGTGTAAGCAGGATTTATTTGTTATTATTAAAAGTTAAGTTTAGATATACTTACACTACAGAAATATTCTTCTTGACATGGACAAGCTGTTCTGTAATCGTTATACTTGTTCTTGGGCTGACATTGGTCCACTGTATGAAAAAACAGAAAGATTTTATTTCTAGTTTTTAATTATTGAAACAAGAAAATAGAAATTACCTAATATTTTTTCCATTTTAATGTCACAAATTAAACCCAAAATCTGCTGAGAGTTCAGTAAAATTATGACACTTAATCTTCTAAGACCCACCACGTTTCAAGAAAGCAAAATTTCAGGTAACTGAACGGAAAATGTAAAATTTGTTTCCTACTGGTCCCATTCAGTATGACGATATATTCGATATAATAATGACATTTACTTTCGCTCAACCTTCTGAAAAAGATTTTTTTTGTAGAAATTGTAATTAAAATTATGATTTTTAATTATGAACGATTTTATTTCAGTTTTGAAATAAAATTTAGTTTTCCTTCAGTTTAAATTTATTCGGTAAAAAATTAAGAGATATTCTATAGAATATTTGTAACTAAAGACTGTTAAAAAATCTTTAATTAAAAATTAAAAAATATTTTTAATGCTTTGAAGAAAAGTTATTTTAATTGAACATATGTATTTTAAATAGAAATATATTTTATGTGAAACGTGTTCTAAAAATACAAACAGTCGTTTCGAAGGTCCTATCACAATGGGAAATTTTTTCCACTAACACAGCGTTAGGCTTGAATTTCTGTTTCTACATCGAATTTGCTAATGACGGCCACTTTTAGGCAGAAGTTGTACCGGGACAAAGCGCAAGAAAATGACACAATTTTGTGATCTGTATCATGACATTCTTTCAAGAAGACTCATCCGCCAGATTTCTCGTAGCAGAAAGTTAATTCAAATTTGCTGTGGTTGGAGTGTCTTCAAGAAAGTTAAAACTTTTACCTAATGTTTCAAAGAACCTATGAAATTGAATAAAAGATACACCGCTTTTCCTTAAACATATTGAAATTTAAGTTGAAAACGCATCTTTTGCATGCATTATTAATTACATACATTGTGAAAGTGGCAAAATATTAAAAAAGAAAATAAAACACTCTAACTACTATATGTTTTGAAAAAACAATTCGGTGTGTCTGCATTATATTAGACACATATATCAATGAATTAGAAACCTTCGAGATTTTCATTTGAATGCGTTCTAGGAATGAAGTGTGCAAAATCTTTCTATGACGTGGGTTACAGGTGGTTAGAATTCAAGTGTAAGTGAGATGTAAGAGTGCTTTTCACGATGAATGAAGTAAAATGGGAAACACGACACATCTTTCACCATCTGAAAAAGGGCTTATTGTTGGTGCTCGTTTAGCAGGAGCCTCGATTTCGAAGACAGCAAATGTCTCTGGATTCTAAAAAGTTGGAATCAGAACCCACAGTCCATCTCTAAAAGGCGTAACTGCGGTTCGAGCACAGTTATCCAAGAGAGTGGTCGGCGTCGTCTACGACGTAACAGGGAATCTGTTGTGCTTCAACTGAAACGAATCGTTAACCAAGGACCTTCCCAACAGATTTCAGCTCGAACAATGCGCAGAGAATGGCAGAGGATAAGAGTTCATATGCCTGTGAGAAAACCACTCATTTCTGCTCGAAATGTAAGAATTCATTTGCAGTGATGTCGGGAAAGAAGACGCTGGACATATGAGGATTAACTCTTTCCAGCACGCTAACTTTTAAAGTTGAAGTTTTGATTTAAAAAAAAGGGCTAGGTAGTCTAATTAGGCCTAGAGGAGTACACAAGTAAAATTTTGTGAAGTTTTAATTCTGTAGGTGGGTCCAAAGTGGCACACTGATTGAATAGAGCTTCGAAAAGAGTACTGAAACGAGCATTGTTGTCAATGAACTGACCGATGAGATGCGGAGAAACAAAAAATGCAGATTCTCAGTTGTCCTAGATGATCGGTGAGCTCGGTCTGGGCACACCTACGGTTCGCCGTTTGATTTTAGGCAAGATTTCAAGGTAAAAATTTAAAACTAATATAGGATAAGGAGATAATCATACAGCCAAAAAAATCATAGAAATTTCTTTTCAAACAATTCCTTTTATACCGTAAAAAAATCTGGAAGACTTCTTTGAAAAATGAGGGTCTTAAAAAACTAAACATGGCTAAAATATATGGACTGGTTTGTGTTGAGCTGCCATCTACTATAAATAAAGAAGGTTCAGAGTAATCTCTAAATTCTTTTTTATTCAATTTTTCTGTGCGTACAGAAGGAAATTTTTAGGTGTGTCCAGAGCTGACATACTGTGCCGCAAAAGGTTAAACAGGTAAATGTAGTCGGATGACTCATGACACACCTTATTTTTACCAAATTAGACTACCTACCCTCCTTTTTTTTTTAAATCAAAACTCCAACTTTAAAAAGTTAGCGTGCGGGAAAGGGTTAATCCTCATATGTCCAGCGTCTTCTTTCCCGACACCACTGCAAATGAATTCTTGCATTTCGAGCAGAAATGAGTGGTTTTCTCACAGGCATATGCATTCTTATCTCTGGCATTCTCTGCGCATGGTTCGAGCTGAAATTTGTTGGAAATGCCCTTGTTTAGCGATCTGTTTCATTTGAAGCATATTGATGAAAGACCTCGAATTTGGCGAGAAAAACCATGAAAACATCTTGACTTACTCGCACTGTGCAAGGGTCTGGTGGGAGTACCATGATATGGGGCATGTTCTGCTTGCATGGAAGTAGTGCCCTGGTGTTTCTCGAGGGTAAACAAACAGCCGTGAAATACCTAATTATACTGCAGATCAAGCTTACCTTGCAATGTTCCATTTTTACCCTGATGGCGACGGATGCTTCTTGGACGATAATGCAACTATACATCGTGCCAGAAATGTTAAAAATTGGATCGCTGAACATCAATCTGACCTCTAACACCTTCCCTAGCTACTGCATCTTAACCACATAGCCCGGATCTTTACTCCAGATTCGGCTAATCTGTTTTTTTTTTTTCTCCTCTTTAACAAGAAGGATTAACATGTATTTAAGCTTTTGCTGTTTTCATTACTGTTTAGATAATGAGCGTTATTTTGGAAAGTTATTGTCGTGTAAAAATATCACCGAGAAAGAAATACAAACTTTCTCCTCCAAGCTTGCGGCAGTATCTGTGGTAACCTCCTCCAGTGCAGCATTCATCTTCTGCACACTCTGTTGGGCACGGCATTTGAGCAATACTAGTGCACACCTGTGAAAATGCACATAAAATTAAAATCCAATGAAGTGCAACATGTGTAAACTTTAATAATAAATTAATTATGCTTATTTCTTGAGTCTAAATTTTCTTATTTTTAGCCCATTATAAACTTTTTTTTTTCTGGAAATAATAAACACTCGAAGCCCTTGAACAATACAGTTTTCTTTCTTGGACAGAAATAAGAGTTCTGTTTTTGATATCCGAATTCAGTTTGCTTGATACCGGGTCAGCTCAATTCAATAAAAGTTTTTGTTCATAGGAATAGGTTGAAGGCAGGAGTACAACTAAAACCAACTTTCGTTTTTTACAGAAATGCTTTGATGTCTGAATACAATTTGCTTGATTCCGGGTCAGTTAAGTTCAATAAAAGTTTTAGTTCATAACAGTAGGTTGAAAGCAGGAGTTTTCGTCGTTCTTGGTTTCATACCGTCATTACATATATATTTAGAATTTCCAGATCTTAATTTGTTTGCAAGGTTGGTGACATAAATTTTAAAAAAGAACTAAAAATTCATTTCTAAATTGTGTTGCAGTCAGTTTGTTGACTTTGAATTAATTCTCATAAATTAACTAACATAAATTAAAATTGTTTTTTAGTTTGTTTTGTTTGAAAATTTGAATGCGTCTAAGTGTTTGTGACGTATAATGTGTTGAACATGTTGTACGTCGTTCGAAAACAATAACTTTCCTAAATGTTGAATGAGATTTGATTGCTCTCAGATAGATAGGCTTATAGATAAGTGAGTTGTGATTTAATTCATTCACCTTCCGATCTGCATGTAAAGTTCTTGAGAAAAATTAAGAAACAAACAAACTATATAAAATATATTACTATACACTCTAAAACATATTATATAATCTCTTGCTGCACTTAATCAGTACATGTTACCATTACTTGTTATAAATTTTATATTAGATATACAGGCTGGTCATAAAAAAATCTTCCCCGATATATCAACGCCTAGCGGCTCATCCAATGAAAAAAAAATTCAGATATTGTTATTTGAAGGCATGAGTTCGAGACTCTGATGATTTAAAATAATAATAAAGCTCTCTCGATTACGGTTGCAGTGATTGAAAAACCATAAATAGGGTAGGACCGCTACACGTAGGACGAAGATTGCCGGGGTGAAACATTTAAAAAGGGAAGCATCGTAAAGGACCAGTGGCAACACCGAGAGGGGAGAAAAAGAACATTTATTGAAATTACGAATTTTCAACATGTATAACTTTTCAGTACTATTAATTTAAATTTTGCATCAGATATTTGTTACAGTCCGATAAGTGTTTTGTTAAAAACAAAGAGTTTAAATATTGAAAAATGTATTTCTGTTTACGAAACTGAAGTCGAAAGCGATTCATTAGAACCTACATTCTCAATTATTAATTAAATAATTATCAGTTGTAAAAAAAAAAGTGTTCTCATTTTTAAGGTTTTGATGTATAAGGAAATCATAAATAAATTTGATATGTTTCGCTATTCAAAGGATTTCAAAGTATAAGTACCATTCGAAAAAGGATGCAGAAAAGAATTTTGCGGTTTAATATCCATTAAAATACTAAAACATTTTATGTATACTTTCACTAAAACAGTAAACAATGATATTTTACTGTACCGCGTCGGTAGTAAAATAAGTGAATGGAACTTATCAAATAAACGAGGTAAGTATGATTGAAATAAGAGAAATATCACTCCAAGCTCTTAAAATGTTTTGGGAGTCCTAGTTAGTCAATTGACTTTTATTGGCTAGCCGTCGGCAATAAATGTTATGTTGATTTCTGCTCTTTTTTCCCCATATACGGTTCATATGCTATTGTTTTAAGGAGATTAAGGAAACACTGGTATATTTTTAGTAGGAAAGAAATAATCATAAATATAAGAAAGTTTTGTTTCACTTCGAATAAAACGAAATATTTTAAAAGCCACACACTTCTATGAACAAACATATGTAATGAATTTTTGGAGAAAACTGTCAATATATTTTTTTCAATATAGGCATTGACCTCTACCAAGGTCAAAAGCGGTGATCACTTTATTATGAAGGCACTTAAGGCTGCTATCACACATCCGTTTGTTTCGGAGGAACAACTGCTTGGAACAATTTTTCTGCTTTGTCCCAGCAGCCGATCACCACAGCTAGCTTGGGGGTTAACACAAAAGAAACTAGTTCTCCATTACAAGCAAGCGGATAGCTGATTGGTTGAAAACGAACAACTTGCAATTTTTTTTCGAAAGGATGGAAGAAATTTTGCGTCTTTCTTTCAATAGTAAACCAGGCAGAGAAAAATTGTCCGAAACAATTGTTCGTGTGAAACAAATGCGTGTGATATGCGTAGTGGGCCACAGTTACGTCCTCTGAAGGAACAGCTTACATACATGCCTCCTCCGGGATTCAAACCTGAGACCTTCGGTATGGCAGTAATAGCAGTCAGTATTTAGAGATACGTTTTTATTTTTTCAGAAGTAACTGCACGATGATGATTGACTACCAACACCGTGAACAATTTTTCTTAAGTAATATTCGTCTACACTTATCTCGAAGAGATTAAAAGTGGTATCTCTAAAAAGGAATCATGGTAGAAGAGCTTATTCTATATAAATAAACCTTAGGAAAGTTTGTGCATAAATTTATTAATAAATATAAACATTTCATTTTAGGTACAGCTGGGGAAGTTCGCTGCTATAAACATTAGGAAAGAAATGTCCCTCTCTCTCTCGCACTAAAGACTTTATATAAACTGTTCCTTTTCCCCCATAAGCGAGTTAATTTTAGTAAGGGAATACAAGATTTAAATTCTTTTTAGCTTACTATAAACTTATTAGCATCAACAACCAATTTTTTTAAATTCCTTTAACTATTCTCGGAAAATAGTGCAACTGGTATAATTTGCGGAAAATCCGGGAGAAAAACTAAGTAATGAAGAAATTCTAGGATTAACATTCTTCAAACCTGACACTTAACAAAACAGAAATCTTTAGAAGTTCGATTATTATTGTCTAATTAGCTTATTAATGTGGGCGGCTTTAAAAATATTAGTGGAGTTTACGTTACACGTTAGGAAAACTTAAGAAAAGGTCCATGCAGCTGGGGCGTTCCCCAAGATTTTTAACTCGTATGTAACTTCTAGTGTTCAGTATATTACCCGTTCTAGTATTCAGTGGCCGTTAGAGAGTTAGTAGTCTTAACGCCTGTTGGCCCACCAGCGGCCGAGCGGTAAAGTCTCTGAACACTGGTAGTTCGGTCCGAGGTTCGAATCCCGCGAACGGGCTGGCTGCATGGGCGTTTTCGTGGTTTTCCCCATGTGTAACGTGTGTACGAGGCAGTTTCCCTTAGAAAGTCCTCCACGAAAGCATTCCTCCCTTTAAGCAGATACTCCTCGAGGCTTTGCTACAATCAGACACACACACACACACACACTTAACGCCCGTTGTTCTAAGAATATAGTGTGTCTAAATGTAATCCAGAGTTCTATTGGTCATTAAGATTCAAGAATGGCAAAATAATCTATCATTTTCTGTCCTTCATTACAATTAAATAGTTAAATAATCCGAAGTTGTGAAATTCTAACTCACCAAGCAAGTCAGAAGAGCAAGGACAAAGATGTACTTCATTTTTCTGCTTGTTTTTCCACTTAACAGCAGTAAAGAAAATATGCTTGTCCTGTCTGGTTAAAGCTTTTAAACCAAGCATAAACAATTAGTATCTTTTTATAGTAAAAATGATATCTCTTCACAGGAATTAAACCATCTGCTATTTGGAACATCGCACCTGCTTAGAAAAAACTTAAAAGTTAAGATACAGAGATAAGAAAACCGCAGACATATTCTTGGATAATTTAGGCGATAATGTAAAGGGAACCTAAGGAAATAAAATTAAAACAACGTGTCTAATTGTGGAATTGCTGAACTAAAAAAAAAAATAAAAAAAGACGTTTCATAAATAATAAAAATATGGCCATGTCTGTTTTTTAAAATATGTAAGTAATCTTAGCTATACTTAAGACTAAAGGGAGTCGCAAACGGTATGAAGCGACAATTCATACCAGCGTATTTTCTCCTGTTCAAGTTTTGGTTGAAAATTTCAAAAAAATAACATTGGAAAGTATCGGAGAGCATCTTAAAGTATCTTCAAGGTCTGCCAAAGAGTTAATAGTTCGCTTTCAAGGAACACGTAAATTTTGTCCAAAACGAAGAAGGAAACGACTCTTCGATGTCTAATCATAGCTGGGCACTAAATCCCAATTATGACTTTAATTCTGTATAATTATATATAAATTTTCTTCAGTCGGAGAAACGAATTTATCAGAAGCATTTTACATCTACCAAAATGTATCTTTAGTTAAGGATGTTAATTGTAATTCACGCCGGCTGGGCGACCTGTCTCTCCTTTGCGAGTGGGAATGTATATGCATAATATACAAAAATCCGCCATCCCAAGAATCTCACAATTGGTCGTAACAAACAGATTTTCTGCATCCGACGTAGAACAGATTGCGAAATGCATTGAAGTGTAACTTCCAATACTGAACGATCTCATTACAGTGGGCTCTGATCTAACGCATCATGTAATAACAATGACGTTAAACATAAAGTAGTATAGTGATCAAAATTTTCAGCGGCCATTTAAGTACAATAGTACGGATAAACGTACACCGAGCAAGTCAAAAGAAAGAAAACGAAGAGGCACCTCATTGTTGCTAGTTACAGCAAGAAAAATGTTTGTTTTATAAAGTTAAAGATCTTTTACATATAATTTAAAATGAATGTTTTCTCATGAGAATTAATCCATCTGCTGTTCCATCACAATGCTTTTCTTGAAAAGCTAAAATTAAGATAAAGAGAGCTTTATCAGTTTACTTTTAGGTGCACTTTTGAATAATTCGCAAAATGTTTCAACAGAAAAATAACTCGAATTTAGTGATATAATTGAGTGGGCTGAAAAAAGAAAATAAATAAATAAAACGTTTAGATTCAAGAAGATAACTACTGTTTAGAAAAACTCTACTGTTTAGAAAAAGAAACTTAAATTGCAATTTTTCTTTGATCCGAAATCTATCTCTAATTTCAAAATTAACCTCTTATTTCATAATTAACGTGTACCTAAACAGCTTTTCTGAAGCTCAAACGAATCAAATTTTCTCTTGTATTTGAAATAATTCAGCATCAGGTTACTCAGGGGAGAACATTTTCGTCAGTAGCAATAAGGAAACTACGAATTTTAGCTCCTAAGTCCGTTTCGACAGTTCAGCCACTTCGGAAATTTTGTTTATTCCAAAAGTAAACTTCAGAACTAAAATTGTAGCTATTTAAAGGTAAGTAAGTTCAGTATCTTCGAAACGAGGCAGCAAACTGACATAAAGCAAAAAGACGCGTTCGATGCTTTCTAATACATTACAAGGTAATTATAGCAAAACAAAACTATTTTATTATTTCATCAAGAGTCTAGCTATAAAATTAAAGAATGTAATGTAAGGTAAATTTGTAAGCGTGTTGTGTGGGCCTATATGATAAACGGAAAGTGAAGACCTCACTTCTTGTTAATAACCCATGAACGGAAATGTGTAATTTCAACGTTTCTTCAAGAGGTAACCATTTTATGTTCTGGTGACTACCTTAAGCAATTTTGAAGCTTTTTGAAACCCCCCTGTATAATTTTGGTTTTGAAGAAATAGAGCATAAAAATATGTTATAGATGCAGGATAAAAGTTAAAGAAAAAAGGATAAATGTGTAAAAGGAAAGTTTAAAATTAACATTTGTCAGACAGTTTGGAGCTTTGAGTAAAGGTTAAGTGGAAAAATAATCCGCGAAGTTTTGAATAGCTGGCCAAAACCTAAATACAGGCATGGCATGGCATGGCATGGCATGGCATGGCATGGCCAGACCAGACCAGACCAGACCAGACCAGACCAGACCATTTTTATTTTTCATCGGACTTGTGCATTCATTTCATAACGAACCCGAACGCACGCAACAATATTTTTAATTTTAGAATTTGTGCATGCCATCTTACCAGATTTAAACTGATGATCTATAATCCGGAATCGCCGAAGTTCCGACGAGTCCGGATTAACGACTTTTGACTGTACTACCTAATTATATAAGTAACTGAAAATATAATTGTAAACAGTAATAGAAATTCTGATGAAAAATATATTTATAAAACTAAGAATTTTTATTGGAAAGGATGGAAAGCTTGTTGCATGAGATGCATTATTAAGCATGTTGTAAAGTATAATTTTTCGAATTCGTATTGCTGAAGTCAAGGGTAAAACAATTGATAAGTATTAAAAAATAAAAAATATATTTCATTGCATTTTATAATTACATGGGAGGTAAACATTTTGTAATTGCATTATAAATATAAGCATAGATGTACACTGCGTAAAAAAAAAGAGGACAGTTATATATATTAAGTTCTACTGGGCCAGTTGACGTAATTCAACTAGCATTTTTCATGTCTCCAAAGCGTGACTTAGGATATATATTAAATTTATTAATTATTATATTAATTTACAATATAGGCATTTTAACCCCAAAGTGGACTTTCTGAAAAGACATGCCAATTTTTTTCCATATTTCGATTCTACGAATAAACTTGTATCTAACGTACCTTTTACCTTAAAATCAGTTTTTCTTTTCTTGTGTGTGAAAGACTTCACTTAATTAATCAATGTTACATAATATGCGAATTTTCAAGTTATCACAATAAAATTTTTAAATTCCTTTGTGAAAGATTCCATTCTTATGTTTACTAAACTTTTTAAATAAGACTCCAGAAATTATCTTTCCATCATCTATTTCTGCAAGTGATACGGTAAAGCAAAACTAGATGTGATTAGATTAGATGATTAAATTAGACGTAATTAGAGGGTTAGATGCAATTTTTAAGTTTATAATAACAAAATAAAATATCTTGTTTGCCGAAATGAAATATATTTATTTAAAATAAAACTTTTATTTGAAATAAAGTTTTTCGATGAAGCTTAAATATACATTTCGATTTATAGTAATTTTCATTAAATTTGTAAAATTGTCTGCAATAGGTTTAATTTTCTTAAAATACAATTAGAAATTCGGTGCCTTTATATAAAATGAAGTAACTTTTACTTTTAGGAGACAATTTAATACATTATGTATATTCTACTGTCACAAGTAAAATTTTAACTTCCTTCATATATAAGTAACGATTAAATGTAATTTCGTTATTTTTATAGTTTAAATAATTTATGTATCTATTTAAAAGATTAATACCGTAGATATCTTCTTTTAATCTCTCAAGTAACAAATACTTTTGCATAATTGGTTTATATGTTTTTCTTAATATGTAAAGTGAACACGAGCTAGTTTGCCTTAGAAAGTCCTCCACAAAGGAATCCCTTTTTCTCAGGTAGGCTGCCGTATTCAAATAATTTAACCTAAACTAGAAAATATTTTTCTCTAACTAAATCTCTTAATAAGGAAATTGGATTACTTTAACAACACAACTTAAATATATTATATGTAAAAGTGCGACATAATTTGCGAAAAAAGAAAAATCTCATATATAATAAATTTAAAAAATAATCTCAGAAATTAGGAAGCATGTAGAAAAGTTCAATGTTTTAAAGTAATACGCCATTTGTAATTAAACTTAGTCTATATAACTAAAACGTGGTTATGGAAGTAGGCATCATTTGCAATGTAGCACTGACGATGTTACAGGATTAAAAAAAAAAACATTTTATAAAAAAAAATCGTTAAATTTTTACAAAACATGAAATAAATCAAAAACTAATTAAAATTCCGGCTTAAAAGTGTGTCCACGTTCGATGTGAACATGTAATAAAATTTTTGTGGTTCTAAGAGCCATCTATTTTGCGCAGTGCGAGGAACATGCATTCAAATATACAGATTCTTCATTAATCCCCCCGATCGCGAGAACATTTGGCGACAGCAATTTAAAGTGAAGCCCGCAAAAACATAACGTAGCAAAAATAATTCATCTTGGGGCGCCATCTATCGGAGACATTTAAAGTTAACTCCTTGTGAACAGTTTAATGCGTTAAGGGGAAAAGGGTGGGAGGTGGAACTATTTTTAATCTAAAATGCTATTATGTTTCACTTTGCGAAATAAAAAAAAAAAAGTATTAAAGGAAGAGGAATGGGCATTAATTAATAGGCATCATTGATTTTTAAATAAGTATAAAATATTGTGTAACATTCTTCAATTAATTGCACTTAATATGCAACTTTTATGTGACATTAATTAGAATAAAAGGAAAACGGAGATAATTTAAGGGATTCATTAATTTTCGTAATATCAGTGCTCAGAAATATCTGTCAGGAAAAACTTCAATTTTTAAGAAAATGGTGAACAGAAAATGGCGCCAATTTCGTCGTAATAACCATTTAGTACAATCAGGAACTAATAAAACAATTAATGGTTTTAGATCCCGATCGTGAAGTCATAGGAGTGCCTGTACTTTATGCGCTACTTCGCGACTGCTTTCGAAGACAACATGCGTTACACTAAATAACATAATTGGTATGTTGAGATAATTTATAGCACCTCATTTGCAATCGCCATTTTCCGATGCTCTTAGAATTCGTAGGCCTCTTCTTTTTCCCCTTTAAAGGACATATTAGCCTGGATTTTATATAGAGCATGGATTTTTATAAATTAGAATAAAGCTTGGAAATTTAGCACGAACTGTAGAATAGGCCAGGCCAGGCTAGGGCAAGACAGGA